AACTATGCCGAATTCCCAGTGCGCCAAATTTGAAATTTCCCAAATTCCCAGCGCGCCAAATTTGAACTACCCCGAATTCTCAGCGTTCCAAATTTGAAATTTTCCGACTTCTCAGCGCCCCAAATTCAAACTATCCCGAATTCCCAGCGCGCCAAATTTGAAACGTCCCGAATTCCCAGCGCGCCAAATTTGAAATTTCCCGAATTCCCAGCGCGCCAAATTTGAACTACCCCGAATTCTCAGCGTTCCAAATTCGAAATTTCCCGAATTCTCAGCGCGCCAAATTCAAAAAACCCCAAACTCAAAGCGTCCCAAATTCCAAAAATCCCGAATTCAAATCCCCCCATCTTTGAAACACATAAACTTCTAATAATTCCAACCGTAAAACGCATATAACTCCAAACCTATAAATAAAAATTCGTCAAGCAGCCTTCATTAACCTAAATTCGTACCAAATCGATAAAACAATAATAATATTATACGAAGTATAGGTTTTGAAACGTGGACAGGTTTAATGTTCTAATTCCCTGGTCGGTCAGTCGCCGGAATAATGAATTGCTATTAAAGCATCAACGTTAAAGAGGAAAGCACGAAATGACTGAAACTTGAGTTCATCGTTGGTAAACTAATTAGGAAAAGAAATTTGTGACTGCATTAAAAGTTGATCGAGAGAACCGTATATTTCATGGGACCAAGAGAGATGATAGGGTGGGTGATACAGTAGGGTGTAATTTGAAAATAAATGATCGAAGTCGAGCGAGGTTTCGTGCAATTTGTGCAATTATTTATTAACGAACCACCCTTTGCGATCTATTATCGTTAGATTTACCTAGTTTAATGACGCTATTATACGGGAATTGTTGTTACGTTTGTGGGGATATATATGGTGGTAAAACTGTGAGGTTATTTTTTTAATTGAGTGGTTCTCAAATTTGTATTTTTTGTGGTTTTTTGCGATTTGAGAATTTGAAGGTTTTTTGGGGTGGAGAGTTTTGAGGAATTGGATTTGCAAATTTGGAGGTTTGCGAGTTTTTAAGTTTTTGAGTTGACGGATTTTCAAGGTGGGCGCTTTCGAGTTCTCAAATTTTTTGATTGATGGATTTTCAAGGTGGGACTTCCGAATTCTCAGATTTCCAAATTGGGGCGTTTCCGAGGTTTCAGATTTCCGAATTCTCACATTTCCAAATTTGGACGCTTTCGAGCTCTCAAATTTCCAAATTGGGGCGTTTTGAGTTCTCAAGTTTCCAATTTGGGGCGTTTCCGAGTTCTCAAATTTCCAATTTGGGGCGTTTCCGAGTTCTCAAATTTCCAAATTGGGGCGTTCCGAGTTCTCAAGTTTCCAAATTGGGGCGTTTCCGAGTTCTCAAATTTCCAATTTGGGACGTCCCGAGTTCTCAGATTTCCGAATTCCCAAATTTCCAAATTTGGGCGCTTCCGAGTTCTCAATTTTCCGAATTCTCAAATTTCCAAATTTGGACGCTACCGAGTTCTCAAATTTCCAAATTGGGGCGTTTCCGAGTTCTCAAATTTCCAATTTGGGGCGTCCCGAGTTCTCAGATTTCCGAATTCTCAAATTTCCAAATTTAAACGCTTCGGAATTCTCAAATTTCCAATTTTGGACGCTTCCGAATTCTCAAATCCCCAAATTCAGATCACCCCAAATTCCCAAACTCCCACTTCCATACTTCCCCAAATTCCTATCTTCCCATATCTCTACATCCCTAAATTACCAAATCCCCAAATTTCCCAAATCTCCATTTCCAAACTCCCAAATTCCTGCCCATCCGAATTCCCAAATTTTCCCTCTACCCAAATACCAGTACTCTCAAATCCCCACTTCCTTCAATTCCCAAATTACCAACTCCCCAAACTTCTCCCTCTCCAACTCCTATATCCTCCCCTCCTCAATCTCTAAATTCTCAACACCCACAAAATCCCATCCCCCATAAAATCCTCCACCTCTCCACCCTCCCCAACCTCCCCAAAACAATAAACTCCACTTTAAACCACCCTCCAAAAAATGTGCAGTTAGAATTATTTTGGAGACACCCTGTACATGCAGCTAGAGCACATTATGCAGCTGCTCAGTCGGTGAAGTAGTCGTATAAGCGAGTCGAGGGTTCAACGACCGGTATAAATTAAAGCGGCGCTTGGATTTCAATGCCACGGCCTTGCTCAAGGCCACGGTACTCGTAGAAAATCAACGGTACATTTGCGGTCGTGTTTGCAACAATATAAATTGTACAATCACGCGTACAAACGACGGTAAGCAAATTTTCGACCGATTATCGTATCGATTTCGCGGCTCGAGCGAACCGCGAGTTAAAGCTGATACGATTAATTCCGATTTCTTTTTTTCTTTTCGAATAATTTCGTTCGTTTGTTATAAACGATTTGACGAATAATCCCCGTGGAATTTTTTGGCAATTGTTTTTTTTTTATTGACAGTATTCGTGGTTTAGCGTTTAATTGTTTGACGAGATGTTCGCGGGCATATTTTTCCGAACGCGAATGATACGATCGATTAGAGAGCACGAAAATAAAAAGCTGGAAATAAAGGTAACCTCTGAACAGCAAATTGTATGTTCGTTCTTTTTATGTGAGAGTACTTATGAAACTTTACGAGGACGTATTTAAACTTTATAATAACCTCTTTAATCAATTGATTCCACGCTGTTGAGCTCGAAAAGCGACTATAAAATACATTGGTGAACTAGGATTATAATTCCTTGTTCTAAAAACCTGTTTATTAACATCTTGATAAGGCAAATTATTACGGAAATTATTATAGAGTTGCATCGGGATAAGGGGCAACTTAAATTGCTGCTCAGTCGTTAAAACTTTATTTTATGACATAAAAGTAGCGCAAAATAGTACTTATGAAATATCAATTTCGAGCTTAAGGTATCAAAGATGACTGCGTAAACGTTTCGTTAATATTCTCAAAACAAAATGGTTGACTCGAGAGGTCTTCACAATTCTCTGCTACTAATCTGCTAATTAATTGAACCACTCTGCTACAAATATTACCGATTATACTTGAACTTTAAGGGGGGCAATTTAGACAGATGAAAATAAACTGATATTTCTGAATTTTTTTTTTATAGTTCACCTGTTTTGCATTTTCGAAATTTCATGTTTTCATATAAGATGTTACACTAACATTTTATAGAAAAAAAAATTTTTTTTTACGATTCTAAAGGTATTGCCTCCCTTAAATCTACATACAATAAATGTAAGCTTTTCAAGTAATGTTGTCACATTATTATATTGTCACAGTCAAGCGATATTATTACAAGTAAGCTTCTAATACTTTTTTATCACAAAAAGAGTTGAAAATATTTGCAACATGTTACTCCTGTAAAATTAAAAATTAATTTACAGTAAACTGCCAGAAAATAAAATACTCTGATAAATTATCGAGTGAAACAGGATGCCTTTACAGTGCAAACAGCATTCTGTAAAAGCATTCAGAATAATTGAAGAAATTACACGTGGATACATCGTTAATCACCGGTAGCGGAATATAATAAAAATGGTTGGCAGTTGATGAAAATTAGAAAGTATCAACGGCGTCGAGCGTTGAATTTTTACAGCGTGGCCGTCGTAGTCCGAGGCAGTACATTATCATAACGAGTTTCTCGGGTTGTTCAACAGTTTTATTTCGCTTCCTTTTCGTTCTGGTTGCGCCGCGAGCCAACCCGAAGACGCGACTTAACGCTTTAATTATTTGCCCGGCTCGATAACACCGTTCACCGGTCTTCTGATAATCCTAATTAACGGCGTAACGAAGACGGTTTAATTGGTGGTGCGCGCACACCGGCAGCGTTAATTGTTATTGCGGGAAAACGATATCGTCAGGATCTGTTCGATTCTCGTGTCGATAACGATGCGTGGAATGATTTTTGAAATCTGGGTTGGACTCCTTTCGACCGCGTTTGTTCAAATGTGTACTCTGCAACCCTTCGTGGTTTCAGATTTTATGAATTTTTACAGTTTGGGACTTTGGGAGTTTGGAGATACGTTGTTTTGGGATTTTTGGGGATGTGGAATTATGGAACATTGAGATTATGAGGCTTTGGGTCCTTGGAATTTTAGAATTTTAGCATTTTGAGGCTTTGAGTCTTGGGATTTTAGGATTTCAACATTTTTAAGCTTTGGGTCCTTAGAATTTTAGAATTTTTAGATTCTGAGGCTTTAGGTCCTTGAAATTTTAGAATTTTAGCATTTTGAGGCTTTGGGTCTTAGGATTTTAGGATTTCAACATTTTTAAGCTTTGAGTCCTTAGAATTTTAGAATTTTTAGATTCTGAGGCTTTAGGTCCATGGAATTTTAGAATTTTAGCATTTTGAGGCTTTGGGTCTTGGAATTTTAGTAACTCCTCATTTTGTGAAACTTCAGAGTTCACCATTTTGTGAAGCATCAGAAGTCATCATCTTATGAGACCTCTTAACTTTAGGATTTTATGATTTTCAAACATCAGTACCTGTTCTATCAATTCATCTATGAATTCATTTATAAAATTTCTTTACTACAATCAATCATAAACGATTTTTTACTGCATCAAAAAATGTTGCAATACATCATCATTGACTATGAATTGTTCAAATTGAATTCAACTATAAAATTCCTTTACTATAATCAATCATAAACAATTTTTCACTACATCAAAAAATGTTACAACACATAATCATTCACCATGAATCACTAAAATTCTAAACAATTATAAAATTCTAAAATCCACTTACAATCGCGAACCTCTCTACAGTGAATCCGCTAAAAGATATCACCCTCCACATAGGCCATTAAAATTTAATTTCCTCCTCTTATCAATCGCAATGTCACGTTGAATGTCACCTATATGCAACTGTATAATTGATTGACAATAGCCGCGCGTCAACGTGACGTTATCAGCGAGCATTTGAAAAAGAAAAACAGACACATGAGTCTTGTTATCAGACACGTGTAATTGAACATCGACGATTTGGTTTTGATTGCAGCATATTGGCCTCGGGGCGACAGCGCAGCTTCGTCGCTATTCGGTGGAATGCCGAGTGGATATGGGTTGGGGGCCCATCATTTGCCATCGGCTTACGCCATTCTGGGCCGTGGAGGATCCGCTCCTGGTTTCGGGGGCCATACACCGGCGTCTGCTCCACCGCCACCCCCGTACTCCCATAGCAGCCTTGGCACTCTGAGCGTGGCTGCCAGTCAAGCTGCGAGTTTAGGTAATTTTCCATTTATTCATCTCATGGTTAATAAATCATGATAAACAATACACCAAATAATATACATGATAGTACACCAAACAATATACATACATGATAATACACCAAACAATGTACATACATGATAATATACCAAACAATATACATACATGATAATACACCAAACAATATACGTACATGATAGTACACCAAACAATATACATACATGATAATACACCAAACAATATACGTACATGATAGTACACCAAACAATATACATACATGATAATACACCAAACAATATACGTACATGATAGTACACCAAACAATATACATACATGATAATACACCAAACAATATACGTACATGATAGTACACCAAACAATATACATACATGATAATACACCAAACAATATACGTACATGATAGTACACCAAACAATATACATACATGATAATACACCAAACAATATACGTACATGATAGTACACCAAACAATATACATACATGATAATACACCAAACAATATACGTACATGATAGTACACCAAACAATATACATACATGATAATACACCAAACAATATACGTACATGATAGTACACCAAACAATATACATACATGATAATACACCAAACAATGTACATACATGATAATATACCAAACAATATACATACATGATAATACATCAAGCAACATACATACATGATAATACATCAAGCAATATACATACATTATAATACATCAAACGATATACATACATGATGATATACCAAACAATATACATACGTGATAATACACCATGATAAAAATCATGGTTACTATTTCTTGAACCTAATACTTTGATTAGAATGGATTATTGTACTTGAGATGTTGGATGAAGGACCGTGGAAACTGAATTTTTCTGAACGATTGCAGGCATCAACCCTGCCAGCGCAGCATGGTGGACGATGGCCTCGCATTTGGCAGCACAGGACTATCTCGCGAGGCTACAAGGGGCTGCAAGTCTTTCCGGATTCCCGCCTGGTGCCGAGAGCCTGCTGCCACCTTATCCTGCCTCTCTACTTAATCCCCCGTCCCTTTCGTCTCACAAGTCCAGTAAGTGTAAGTATGACAAAGTTTTTACTCAAATCTTAGCGAAGAAATTTTCTTGTTCACGAAACCAAAATTTGTAGTACCATGTGTTTATAACATTGTTACACATGTACATGGCACATGTGAGTTAATCATCATATGTGATAAACGTATATGTCACTGCAGTGTCACTTATAGAAAGTTGAAAATTGAAACGTCAACAGAGTAGTTGCTAACTAAAATAGTTGTTAAGTAAAAATATCTTGTAGTTTCGAAGACATATCACCCTTGAGATTATGTCTGGAGATGATGAAAGAGAGAGTTTCGTAAAGAAAGAAATTTTAAAGTGATCGGTAAATCTGTATACAAAGATAGCGTGTAAGAACTTTAAGGAACTTTTCGTGACGATTTTCTTAACCAGCCAAATTCTGTTACGGAAAACCAAAAGCTAAGTCAAGCAAGAGTCACAAGACGACGGCAGCCAGCAGCGGCAGCTCGACGACGCCGAGCATGACAAGCAGCAGTTTGCCGGTGTCGACTCAAGCACCGCCGGTCACGTCCTCTCATCACAGTACCTCGGTCAGCAGCACGCAAAATTCGCAAACGAACGTCGTCAGGTACGAGATTCACTGCGCGTTCAGACGTGTGCAACCTCGTTAAATCGATTTTTTATTTTCCCTCCATTATTTTTAACAGACGCGCCTAGCGTCCTCAGTGCACTTACGTTTTGCCATTAATTATTTTTCCACGCTTGCCGATACTTGCAGTTCTGCGAAAGAGGGCAGGTGAGAGATTGTTAAGAATAAACGAAAAAAATATGTACACATACACACACATACCGGGGATAAAATGAACCGAAACACACGGGATGTTCCAACGATATCGATTTTTCTTGTTCGCAGTTTCGCTCGGTGAATTCATCCGTTGCTCGTTCATTTAAATTTCATACGGTGCTCGTGTAACCGTGTAATTTCGTTGTTATGACTGCTCGATGGCCCTTAGCGTAGGCGTCGTTTTAAACAATTTGTCTCTTTAACTAGTTGACCCCCTCAACACGGTTGTGAGGAAAAATGATAAACAGCGTTCGTCAACCCTTCAGGACGTGGAACATATTTTTTATCGGTTTTTTAGAAGGTCAATATATTTCCTTCATTTTTAATACCTTCACTTCTTTTTTTAACGAGAACTTTTAAAATAAAACTCTCAGGATTTTTAGTACTGAGGGTTACACGATACACAAAATAATTATCTAATCTGATCAATATATCCATTATTAACTATCATCTAATATAACCATTGAAAGGACTGTCAAATTAAATGCCAAGGTTAGATAGATATAAAGGTTGGATCTCTATCAAGGTTAGATCTCCATCAAGGTTATATCTCCATTAAGGTTAGATCTCCATTAAGGGTAGATCAATGTCAGGTTACGTTAGAATGTCACTTCAAGTCCTGAAGGGAACAACGAATGCATGTAAAAGATTGATAAAACAATAGATTAAAGTATATATCATTTTATTTAGCGATCCTAGCAGTATATTAGGAGGTGTGCGACTGCCTCCCGACACGGAGATCATCAAGTACACTTCGAGTATAGTCGGTCCAAAGGTTCCTGGGACAACGAACCGCGGAAGGAAGAAGACCATATCCTTAGACACGCCGAGTGTCAGTGTACATCCACCACCTAGTGTACCTGCTCTCTCTGCTCATCAGACGAACACCACCACGACGTCGTTGATGATGGAACCCAGGAAATACAATCGCGCGGCGGTAATTATCACTTTTGTTTCAGAACTTCAGGGTAAATAGTGCAGTTACTCTGATTCTTGTACGACATGCACTCCTTTCTTCTCGAAATGGGAAACTTTATTAAATAGATCAAACACTTGTTTCTTTAGTTTTGCTGTTGAAGTTGTACATCTATGATTGTTATTCTTCTGATGATATATTTATGTATCAGGTGTACCCATGAATTCGTGTAACTATTTATATGATAAAAACTAGAATAGCAAATTAAAAGTTGCATTAACAGTTGATCAAATATAATGCTACTGAAAATATGCTGATATCTGAAAGTTTCTCAAAAGAGTCCACGTATGATCTGATCTAATATGTACATATACTTTAAACAGTTACACAAGTAAATTTATAGCTCGTACAGTTTCCTGTTGGACTCAATTGTGTATCGACGTACAGAAGTGGCTTCTAAAAAATTTGACTTCCACCCTCCACTTTTTCCGAAACTCGACCAATAACGTTTTGTCGGTACGATTTCCTTTCAGACCGAGTCGAACGACTACAGGGAGCCAGTGGATCGTGTAGAAGTGATCAAATTGCCAGCGCATTCTACCAACGGTTCCGTTCTACCGGCACCTACGTCCTACACAACCACCACGAATGCTAACAACACGAGCGACTCGGATGCTCCGTTGAATCTCTCCCTGAAGCCCTCGACGACGAGCGGTAGCTCGCCCATTTCTGGTAGTCAACCGCTCAGTCAGCTCAGTAATTTAAGCCAGTCGTTACTTGCCTCTGACAGAACGTGTAAGTGTTCTTTAATCAGCCACTTTTAATTCTTACTTGTTGCACAACTTGTTACAATTCCATTTCGATAAACAGCTATATTTCTATCGTTTTAAACTCAGACTCTGATCTTGAAATTTTATGTACAAAACATACATGTCTTTGTATCAAACGACTTCTATCTATTTCTTCGTTGAACATCTTCAAGTGTTCAAATGTTCAAGTGCTCATCTTCAAGTTTTTCAGTATTCTTGTATTTAAGATTCTGGTATTTAAGCATTCTTCTATTTAAGATTCTTGTATTTACTGTACTTAAGTGTACTTGTTAAGTGTACTATACTCAAAGTGCCAGCTTTCCAAAAGCAAAACAGTAAAATCACCCTGAGTACATATTTCAATTGAATCAATTGGTGATGCGAGATAGACCAGATATTATTTACGGAGTGTTTTGCAAATGATAGCGAGACGAAAGCCCGGGCCGAAGCCGCGAAGAGTGCCCCAGAACTCGGTGCCGGTGCCAGCCTCGCCGAGTCCATCGTTGGCGCAGTTATTCGCCGCAGCGGATTCGCCACAACGGCCAAGTAGCGGAAGCGAGGAAAGCGAGAGTGCTAGCACGACCCATCACAAAGATGGTCGACCGAGGAACCTGGGACGTGGCGTGTCCAAACCGAAGAAGAACACCGTCGCCTCGTTGCTGGCTCAAAGCAGAGCCCTGGGGATTAAACCTACGCCCACCTTGGACCCTAGCGTGCCATTGTCTCACCAGGTCTCGCTATTGAGGTCGAACATTCTGGCTGCACAGCTGCACGCCACCGCCACGGGTCAAGGTGACGATAAAAATCAGGTAAAGTCTGTTTTCGACACGATCCTCGATAATGCGATGCTGTCCTATGGAGCTGGACTTGTTTTCTCAAATATTCTGGTACATACAATTTGCGGAAAAATTTGGGTTAAGTTCACTTTGGTGTAGGTTTGGTGTAGAGTTCACTTAGGTAGAAAATTAGAATAGAGTCCATCTTGATGTAAGATTGATGTGGAGTTCATTTTGGATTAAGGTAGCAAAGTCCATCTTGATGTAAGTTAATAGAGTCCATCTTGATGTAAGTTAATAGAGTTTACCTTGATGTCAGCTAACGCAGTTCATCTTGATGTAAGCTAATAGAGTCCATTTTGGTGCCTCATTGATTGAAGTAACTTTTCTACCTGGACCTTGCTATCGAATTTTCTAAATGTATCTTCAAGATCATATTCTGCTGATGTTCTACCGATAGTTCATGCTGTTTGTATTGGTCATAATCCACTTATAAATATTTGAACACGTAACCAATACACCTGAAGTTCTTTGATGTAATTTTGATTATCTGCCTTACACATCCACGTCAGTAATGATCGAAGAAGGTAATACTTACCGTCAACGTGAACATGAAATCCATTGTGTACACGTCTATTGAAGACATCCAAGTACATCACATAATTGAAGAAGGTTTTCAACAGCATCGAGTAACAGGAAGCATTGAGAGAGTAACGAGATCAATAATGAGACGTCTATAGACAGGGTACAATGTAGTCATTTTGAGTAGAACATTCGTTAAAGAAGCTTCGAATTTAAAACCTGATCTTAAAAGTAAAAAAGCAGTCATATTATATACGAATTGGTACTCCGGTGGACAGTATCGCTCCATTTATCTGTTTAATTTGCAAGTTCATTTTCGTTGAACAATTTTATTTCGGAACAATTTGATTTGTAATCAACGGAGAAGCCAAGAAGAGAAGAAAGAACGAAGCGGACCGATCGATTAGTTTTGCTTTTTTTCACTTATGATTTTCCACTAAAACCATGCTCCCTATATAGCGGTCTTTGCAGGAGAAGATGAAGAACAAACTGCTGGAGGCGTCCGGCGAGGAAAGCAACATGGACGTGACCAGCGAAAGCGGAAGTAACACGGATGTTGTGACGGACACCGACGACGACAACGTGGACGGGGTATCCAGCGCGAAGAGGAGAAAGGTGAAGCCCAGCGAGAGGGATCTACAGGTTCCTCTGGAACGTGGCTGGAAACGGGAGACTGTCATCAAGGGATTAGGGAAGTCGGGAGTGATAAAGGGTGACGTGTCTTATTACAGCCCTTGCGGAAAGACGTTCAGGAGCAGTCCGGATTTGGCGAAGGTTAGTGTCTTCCGGGCTACCTTGATACACTAAATTGGACGAGATTCAACGTTTAACCCTTTCGAGCACGATCAACTTCACCTTTTATGCTCCATTTATTCTAAGCAATAAACTTGTCAAATTTTGTTGGAATGTGAACTTGACTTGATTTGATAGGTGGAGCTGTATATTCTGAAATATATCGCTAGATACCATCGTTAGATGTTCGTGTAGGGCTCTGTAGATTTCCATATTGCCGGATCTGTGTATCTATGTTCATACTATATCTAGGTCTACATATGTAGATCCATATGTGCCCTGATATGCCGACATCTACATGTCTAGATCGCTATATTCTACAATTCTACATCACCCTCTGCCTTAGATCTCTATATCCCCGTCTGTGATACACCGACATGTGCAAGCCCGATTCCTATATGCCTTGATTTCTGTATCCCCCGGTACCTATATGCTTAGATCCCTATATCCCCCCGACGTATATGTCCCCGCCAGATATCTCCCGATCCCTATATCCCCCCACCAGATATTTCCCGATTCCTATATCCCCCCGTCAAATATCTCCCGATCCCTATATTCCCCCACCAGATATCTCCCGATCCCTATATCCCCCGCCAGATATCTCCCGATCCCTATATCCCCCCACCATATATCTCCCTACCAAATATCCAAATCCATGAAATACTAAAAATATCAAATTTCACACGTGAAACTTAGTGTTAGTCAAAGACTACAACCCTAATCCACATAAGAGTGTGAAGAAACTCGAGAGATAATGTGGGATGGTTTTTTCGTGTTCCTTTTTTAATACCGAGTGGTTTTGAACACTTCCAGTTCTTGGAGCAACAGAATCCACCCGAGCTGACTACCGCGAACTTTTCCTTCTCGTCTCGTCCTCTGGTGGGCGAGTTCCTGCAGCCGACAATGGGCTTAGCGGAGGCGGAATTCGTTAGGTTGGGTGCACAGGAAGTGGCGAGAAGATTGGAGGAGCTGAGAGCCGCGGGTGGTTTCAGGGACGCGAGAACAAACAATCAGTATGAAAGGGAGAAGCTCGCGTACGCGAAGAAACTCGCGAAGGAAGAAGCACAGCGACACAAGGAACAGGCTAGGTGAGTCGGAAAACCGGGCTCGAAATTCATTTTCTAATTCTATTATGTCGAACATCATCTAAAATACGTGTCTGAGCTCATTTTTCATTAACGCGATAAACTCTTGTATTCTTTGGAACAAAGAGATGTTCAGTTTAATATAAAGTATTAAATAAAGTTAGAAGGATTTGTACAGTTATTTTTATTGGATTTAAACTGATATCATAAGTACTCTTCTCGAGGACCTTTGTGAAATTGTGTCTGTACAGGTTTGAAAACTGATCGTTTGTTGTAACTGGCAGTCAGCCATTTTGTATTAATGGTGTTCACGAAACGTTTATGCAGTCACTTTTAGCAGACTTTAAGCTTTAAATTGATGCGATACAAGTGTTGTTTTGCAACGCTTTTATGTCACGAAATTCTGCTCGATTTTATAGGTTTCAAGCGTGCTCATTATTCGTTGTAATTGGCGACCATTTTGCGTTAAAAATATTCGTGAAACGTTCAGTCATTTTCATTAATCTTTGAGCTTCAAGTTGGTGTAATATAAATGCTATTTGTGATACTTTTATATCACGAAACGATACAATAACAAAGTTATATATTTTAACAGTAGTTATTGGTTAGGTTCACAATTGCTTATAAATATTTTTGTATTGAAAATATGAATAAACGCAGTCGAATGTTAAACTTCGAGTACCTTCGCACTTTTCTGTGACGACTCGTGAACGAATTGTACGGTTGTTGTAGGCTGATCAAGGAACAGGAAAAATCGGAGAGACAGGAAGCAGTGAGACGAGAACGAGAAATTCGAAATCAGCAGTTGCTCGAGGTAAGTTGACGCTCTTCTATTCGCCGTGTTATTTCCTTTTCACGTTTTGTCTCGATTCTCGTTGTTTCATTCACAAGGAATCTGTTCTTTTACTCTATTTGGGATACCTATTACATTTTTTATTTTTAATTATTTTTTGTATTTTGTCCACCTGTCGTGCGTGTCGCATGCTCTCTGTGTGTGTCGTATTTATATTATACATATATATATATATACATATATATATTATCTATATCTATATACGTATATGATGTATATACATCTATTTGTACATTTTATATATATACATATATACATATATACATATACTCTTCAAGTGGATATTCTTGTAACCAGATACTTTTTTATATACTCGCATATGTGAACCTCCCGGCCCCTTGAAAGCACCCGTTACGAATCCGAAAACCAACGAAAACGTCCCAGGACACACGAATACCAAAAATCCCCCTGAAACCCCATAGACAACCAAGAATCGCTAGCAATAGTGACAGGAGAACCCAAGCATGTCCTCCTAAAGTCTCTTTCTCCGAATGACACCACCTAACCCTTCTCACCTTTAGCCTCCAACAATTTTAGTTTTGTGTACGTTCTTTTTCGTTTCCTTCCTACGTCAGTGATTCGAACGTGTTTTTTTAGCCGTGTAACGGAGATCGTTTTTTATTTTGTGGCTGCATCTCGCTTCCGGGTCCTCCACTCGGCGAGAACCGACCCGAAAATCATTTGGATTTCTCCTGGAGATCTCTGATGAATCGTGCAGCTTTCATAGAGAGAGAATGCTGAGAGAATGATTGATCGACGAGAGAAAGAACATAGCGTTAAAGAGATCAAAATTTAAGATGACGTCGATGAATTGCTATTTCTAATTTTTTTTTAACTAAGCTGCATTATTAATTTTATCAAAATTGAACTTACGTCTGAAATGAATTTTTGAATAAAGTTGAATTTTATTCAGAAGTATGAGTACACTAAAGTTGAGTTAGAGAATTCTTCAGCTGAAATATGGTCATAAAGTTTTGTCACTTACCACTATTACACATAATTTTTAGTACTCGGTTAGTGTATTTTATATCGAGAAATCGACGTCACCTTTAGAAGCTTTATCGAGAAACAATGAAAGTCCTATTGCTCGAAATATGTATAGCGTGTAATGTGTGAACTGGACGCCTAGTTCGGTTGCTTTTTTTGTGTGTGTACGCTGTGTAGACAGTCACAAGAGTATAGATCGGTTATTGTCGTGGCATATAGTTATGTCCTCGCCTGATTTCCATAGATTGACGGCGAATGATCTTGTGAGAACTTAGATTGATCGATTTAGAACCGCACATTAGATATGTGTGATTGCTCTTCAAGGACAGATGTACCTCCTGGTGGCTCTTTGCATCTTGAACCTCCCGATCGTGTGCTCTTCGAATTCTTGAACTACCAATTTGCAACATCTCCAGTTACAAATGAATCGGAGAGCGCAAGATTAAGAAAAAAAAAACAGAGATGTCCGGAAAACTTCTCGCAGCGAGACAAATCGATCTGGAAGATTTTCAATGGTGCTCGAGGATTTTTCCGTGACGAGACCGATTCGACGAAGTAGATAAACGCGAGCGTAGAAAACTTGAATCCATCCATTGTGATAGTTCTCCAAAGTTACCTGATACAGTACGGAAACGTCCCTTCGTCCGAACGAGACACATACCGATCCCTTTTACCAACAACCACCGCCCCTTATTTTTTCACTCACTGTCACTCGTGTTCGCTCATTCATCCCTTCGCATTCACTTGCATCCACCCTCACACGCACTCGTACATCACATACGCGAACCACCCGTCCAGCCATGTTTTTTTGAAAAAAATAAAAAAAAAAAACATACACGCAACAACACAGGCCGTGCAGGGTGAGACGTTAGAGGGAAGAACGTCAATGGAGAATGAAAACGAGAAAAAGATACTGAAATACGTAGATGTAGAAGTTTGGTTGATAAAACTAGACTGGGACTGGCGACCTAGGGATGCCCATTTACAATCGTATAATCGATCACTTGTGGATTTAAGCACATTTTTCAACGCGACACTACTATTTTGGATCGTTGTGGGTCTTTTAGCTCTGCCATTTTAAGTTACTTAAAGTGACTTTGAATTAAGGTGACTTAAATTTCTAGGTGTTATTGGATCACATTTAACTGGTAATAAACCTTGTTTCATTTTGAGATTGTTTGAATAATAGTTTATTGTTATTTAATGTGAGGAGTGTTTTAAAGAAGATTTAAAACTGAAAATAATTTTAGATATGCATTATGTTGCTGTATAAGTAGTGTGAACTGTCAGGATGCTGCTTTTAAAAGATAAAAATGTTGACTTGAGAATTCAGTGTTTGGTTACTTTTAAGGAAAGAATTGCTCTTAGTTTTCGTTCGAGACTGTCTGAAGATTATTTCATGTAAAGACGAAATGATTTAAAGTGAAAAGGTGTAAATTTGACTGTAGTTGCCAAGATAGATATCTCATCAGCTTGCTAAATGATTTGAAGACAACCTTGATCGCCGCAATAAATCATACAGCATTGTATCCGCTTTGAAAGAGCCCATGTGAGGCAATCAAGAGACACTATGGCGACTAAGAAACCGTTCGTAAGTAAGTTAAAATGGCGGAGCGTAATGACTCAGCGTGTATAAAGAAAGGATAGAATAGGTGTGTGGAGCCCCATTGTTTGTTCTTATAACTTTCAGTTCGAAAAAGAGTCGGGCAATGCTCTCTCTCGAGATCCATACCCAGAGGTACATAGCAAACCACCTATCACAACCACCACGTTCACCACAACCATAACCACTGTCCACCCAAGCTCTAAGCAATTGTCGAACGTCCTCGAACGTAACGAGCCGAGGGTGTCTCTCGCGCACGACCACCACCCGACACGTAGCGAACCGTCGATTAACACGATCGATTATTGGGCATCCCTAAACCTACAAACGCAGGGTCGAAAGCGGCTAGCGTTCACGATCAAGCAGAAAATGAAGATCATCCAAGAGATCGAACGCGGTAAGAGCAAGAGCGACGTGGCGCGCGAGCTGGGTCTGGCTAGCAGCACGGTGGCCACCATCTGGAAGAATCGGGAGAGCATCGCCGAGAGCTGGAGGAACCGAGACATGATGCAACAGCACACCGATCGCGAAGAGGAGACGAAAAAGCTATCGTCGTCCGCCGCTTCGAACTTGGTCTCCGTGACGTCGTTGGTAACCAACACGGTGCTCAGCACGAGCACCGCCAACACCAACAATAGCAACGCCTTGCCGGCCGTCGTGGTGGCACCTCCGCAGGTGCAAGTAGTACCTCCACTGCCACCGCCACCACCGCCACTACCATTGACGACAACCACCTCCACGACGGTCGTGCCCTCGGCCTCGCAACCAACGCTGCCATCCACAACTATCTCCAGCACATCGTCCACCGGCACCACAACCACCACCACAGCCGCCGCCAACAACGTCGGCTTGGACAATACCCAGCAGGCCCAGACCCAGACGCAAAGTCAGGAGATTCTGGAGGTAAGATGTCGTATGACCGCCTCCCTCTCGACTTCATCCACCTACGTTCCACTCAACCCGAACCTTGCGATGTTTTTTCGATTTCCTGCCGATTTGTCGGACCAACGAGTTCTCCTTTTTTGGGGGGTGTACTCGAGAGGATCGTGGACGAGCGATTTTTCCACGAAATTGGGCTTCGACGAGATGGTACGTGCATACGGAAAGTTAGGATACTGAGCGATGGATTTCAGGGTTGAGGAGTGATGGGATTAAGTAGGTTGCGAGTACATTCGGGTGCGACGGAGGCTTGCTTTGGCTAAGGGTAAGTTAGAGCGGAAGTCTGTCTTCGATTTTTGTGGGAGAATTTCGGAGATTTTTAGGACATTCTGAGATATCCCAAGTAAATTCTGAGATCCTAAACCTAGTTCCTAGAAAGATCCTAAAGGAACATTCCTACATCCTTCCCCTAACCAAAGGAAGCCTGAATTACACTTGATTGTACAGTAAATCATACAAGTATTCGAATCCTGTAAAAAGAAATGATCGTAATCGAACATGCCAAACTTGACCCCATCACCACAAACTTCTGCGTTCAAATATTTCCGCACTTGAATCTTCCTCGATTAATATTCTAAAATTCCGTCTGTCTACTGTCAAGTTACCGAAGCTCGATTCGGTTCAAAAACAAGTCCTCGGGGATTCGCCCCGTCAGACAGGATTCGTGGATCCACCTGGCTCGAATAGTGCTTCGAGTAAATTCTTTGTGCGACGAGTCATGCAAAGAAGCATTACGGAAGTAACTCGTTTATCAGGAAACTATTCCCTCTAAACGCAACGGACTTCCTCGCTTCGAAGAATTTCGTTGGAACGAGAACACCTTTCAGCCTGGTGGTACCTTCTGCGAATCCATAGTCCATTAGTTGCATCCGTCGATTAATTGCTTCCAAGGAATCTACTGACTCACATTTGCCTTTACAATCGATCCCCCATCGCGAGTTAAGCGCACTCTACGGATCCTACATCGTCATTAAACTCTCCCCCGAAGCCCCCTCTTCATCGGATTCATGTTCACTAACGAACGTTATCGTCGTCCTTGCGATTCGTTGGTACACCCATGCTCTGTCTGTTCCCGTATCCTCACTTCTGTATTTTCATCCGATTCCGACACGGGGATCGTGAGACGAAGGAGCTGTCGAGGTAAGACTACGATTGCCTGGTTTTCTATTATTGTCCTACCAACCCCATTTTTCTTTTCATTTTTTTATTTTCTCACTCGACAAACATCCCTCCCATAATTTCGACCTTGACCCTCGGCATCGATAGATTAAGATTCACGATGAGACGACCCAGAGGTAAGATTATATACGTATCAATCAATCGTCTCGTCTTTTTTTTTTTACCTTTTTTTTATTTAATTTTCTTTCGGTGTGCGTGACCGTACTTCTATTAACGTTCAAACCGCGACCGACGTCTCGAATCTTTTTTCGTTATAAATCCTCTTTTTAGTTTCATTTTTTCCTCTGTCGGGACTATGATTTCTTTTGGTTCCAATTCATTTCTCAGATCAGGTTCTTCGGCTTCTGTCTTTCGTTTCTTCCTGGTAGTCGCTCTGCATTCTAAAATCTCGGTCATCACCGAACGATCGGTTCCTTTCGGCTCTTCGAACATGTTCGATTATTTGCACGGATATTTTTTTGCGGTTTGGTCAAGAAATTTCGTGTACATTGACACGTTGAATGTTGCTGCGAATGTGGTTATGTAAACACGGGTATAGTTCGGTCTCGTTATATGGCCGTGGGAGTATGACAAATAGGCAACTCAGGAAACTTTCTTTTTATCTTAGGAACATTTAGAGTATAGGAAATTTTTGAATTTAAGAATACTGTAATTGAAGAGTTTGGTCCTCAAGTTTGGTATTTAAATATTTACCTATGTATCTAGAAGTTTGAAACTCAGAATTTGAAGCATTTAAATATTTCATTAATTTAAAATACGAAACTTATAAAATTTGATGCTCCATCTAGTACTTTGAAAAATAAAAGATTCGAAAGTTTATAAAATACAGCAATCCACAATCTCCGCAACATTCAACGCAATGAGAAAATTCAACGAGATGAATTACATTTCCACGGTGGAGTACGTGTTGAAAATTCACGATAACTTTTCCGCGAAAAGTGTTCCACCTTTTTCTGAAGGAAAGACTGTTAACGATATAGCTCGAGGTACGAACGATACACGAGCACCAGTAGTTCGCCACATTAACACCTTTGTGCATCACGTAGCGATCGAATGGACGAGGACACGCCACACGATACACACACATAGGACCCAGCCACACCGAGTGATAATATTATAGTATCGATGTCCCTGATGGCACACGCCAAATTGAGTTTGTTTTTCTTCTCTCTTTTTTGATTACAAAACGCAATAAAGTGCGGGAAAATGTAGTTGGTGTCGCTGATACGCAGAGTGATTCGTGTGAAGCGACGGTTGTCCTGAATATTTAACAAGTTTGCCATTTATATAACTGTCTGATTTAAAAGGTTTCGTTGCAAAATCTAAGATGCACAACAAAATTATTTAAAATATATATATATAGAATTTAAGCATGATACTTAAATCTTTCACTACTTAAACCTTTCACTACTTGAAAAATAAAAAATTTGTACATCGTGTAGAATGAAATTTTGTTGTAAAAAATCGCAAACTTTATCATTTGTGTTTGAAAAAATCCTACTGGAACAATGGTATACATTTTGTATTTAGTGCGATACAAAAAATTAATTAAATTTCGAGACCCAGAACACAGGAACAACTTTTCCACCTACACACACATATCGTAGCATAGCGAATTTACGATAAAACGTTGATAACGACTATTGCAATGCTATCCTGTGCCTAGCTTCTCCTGTCACTATACAAAGAAATAACAGCTAGCTACATGATTATTATCTCCAGCATGGCGATATTTCTTTTTTTAATTCATTTTTATTTCCAATTTTCACGCGTTCTATCCGATTATCAAGTACCGCTTCCCGAGCAGATCAAAACGCTTTTTCTTTATCCTCTCGCTCTGTTCTCTTCCTGCTCCCTATTTTATTTTTCATTTAATTTAGGCCGAGAAAGTATATACAACATACCACTTATTATCACGATTTACTGATTGTTATTGTTACGTATTTTAAGCTGATTTAACCCTGGGGTACCAGGCCATTTCTGACCCATAGCATTATCATATTTTCAATTTCATTTGTTGCAAACACTTGTGATGTAAGTAGGTTTTAGAAAAATTTCATATTTTATGGATATACATGCATTCATACATATGTGAAATGTTAAGTATACTAATTAACTATGGGTCAGAAGTGACCCAGGAGAGGGTTGAGATCCTGTATCCGTACAGGTGACATTCCGAGCAAAAGACACTTCATAATAATCAGCTTCAGATTAATATTTTCTACACTGATCATATGTGCATATAAGGCGAGTATATTTGCTTGGCTCCTGCATGACATTCTTCTTCTTCTTCTTTTCCACTCTAAAATTTTTATGAATCGCTTCGTAACATTTTTTCTCTATTGTACTCGAATTCTAAACGATATGCCTTTTTTACCATATGTACAAAGAATCTAAACAACATGGTGGTGGTTCCTATTTTATAATACATATATCATTCTATATATTTATACGTATACATATTTTTCTATTAAATATATCGTACGATTTTTTATATATGTATATTTCGTAATTGTCTATATTTTCTCTGGTAGTTGGGTGACAAGCTTTTCAGTTGCAGTTTCACGAGTTTCACTTTTTCACTGTTTTTTACCCTATTGCTATATTATTTTTGTCGAAGATTCTCACGCGTCGTCGATTTGTTCTACACTTTGCTTGGCTGCTTTTCTATTTCTCTCTCGACGTTATATCTGTATTATATTCACGAGATTTTATACGATAGCATGCCTATCTTTTTTGGGTTCGTTTTTATGGTGGTGGGGATTCCGCCGACTCGAAGAATTTTTTTACTTTCCTTTGCTGATCGAATCGTTCGATCTTGAATAAGACACGTTTATTGATTAAAACACCCTTGATGAAAGGCTCACTTTTCCCTTGTTTTGCTGAAAATATTTAAAGTCAGAATGCTTAGGAATCACAAATACGAGAGGAAAAAATTACGCTGATTCTCGGTTTTCACGTTCTTTTCCCTTCACGAACACGCTTTTGCTGAAGATATCGACGTAGAGATCCTAGGCTTATGCTTTATACACCTTCGAGTACGGACGAGAATATCGTGAAAGGAAACGTGAATTACATTCGGTGTCGAGAAGGGAAACCGATCAGGACAAATTTTTTCTAGTCGTCACAGTTTTTGTATATATTTTCTTCATTTATTCATTTTTTTATTCATTGATTTGACAGATTTTACACGATGATGCTTACACGATGATAAATCATTTTTAGCTTCTCGAACCTTTCCAGAATTAATATCGACTTTTAAGTTACGAAGAAATGTCAAAGTTACATTTTAATTTATTATTGAAGCTCAACTCGATTTAAAGATTCGCTTAATAAATTATTATTTGAAGATTTTAATAATTTTGAATGAAAAATCTGTGATTCGTTTTGTCGGATTATTCTGATGGAAATATCTTGATGAATTTAATTTCTGTGACATAATTTGAAGATGAATAAAATTTCTTAAAATTCTCCGAGAAATTCTGTAAAATGTACTCGTTTGCAAGTAGAGAAAGATACGTTTAATTAAGTAAAACAATGTCCGAGTACTGAGATGTGAATATTAGCGCGGACCTTACGTCCGCCATTTTGAAAACCGTTCGCTTAGATGAATAAAACTTCTCAAAATTCTGTAAAACTTTCTTACAAATACAAGAAGATAGTACAAGTCAGAACGTTTAATTAAATAAAACAATGTCCAGGTATACATTTAACTAAATAAAGCAGTGTTCGAGTACTAAAACTTAAATATTAGCGCGGACCTTACGTCCGCCATTTTGAAAACCGTCCGCTTCATCAGAGTCCCACAAATTTTCCCCGAATTTTATCTTCAAACAATAATATTGAACAAAAATTTACACAGAAAGGTTCGGAAACTGACAGGTTTATTAATCGTGCAATCGAAAGTTAATTATTAAAAAAAGGAGTTAATTAAAACCGAGTGCACCGCGAAGGTCGAAATCGAGGCTCCCTAAAACGTTTAGCGAAAGAAAAGGCGGAAAGATCATTGTGTAAAGCTTTTCATGATCCATCTGAAAAAATTCTGACGGATGAGAGTGACGTGTGTATATGGCGTGTGCGCAGGCTCGGAAAAAACGGCAGGAAGAGGTGGAGAAGATACGACTGGAAGAGCAACAACGGAAGCAACAGGTAAATCCTAAAATCGTTGTTACACACCGTATGCTTTCTATTTCTCTCTCTGTCTGGTACAATTTGTTGTATGAACTCTGTTTTACATTATACTCTCTCTCCTCTCTATCTCTCTGGTTCTCGTTGTTACATAAAAATCTCGTCGACTCCGTGATAAATATTATTCAACGATGAAACAACTTCTGGCTCGTTATTTAATTGTTATCTTCCACGGTGCAATTAAGCGACACCTGTTGTCTTTTCACGCGATTAAATCATTTACTCGTTACACTATTTAGGAATGCCTTTAAGCTTTCTTTGTCTTTGTGCGATAGAGTTGTCGATTAATATTATGGGTTTCTATAATCTTACATAAGATCAATGATATTCATGTGTATGTTTAAAAAATTAGATATTTATGTATGAGGTATTTGAAGGATGTACTTGGATTACTATGAAAGTTTTGAGAGTCGTTAAAATATCTGTGTGATTATAGATATAATCTTCAAATCCATAAATCTCTAAATTCTCACATGCTCAATTCCCTAAATCCTTAGATCCCTAAATCCCCAAATAACTTTTCTAAATTCTCAAATTACAAAATTTACAAATCCCAAACTTGAGCCTAGGGACAGTTACCTAGGGTCGCAGGAACTTAGAAATATAGATCCGAATAAAGCTCACACGTAATATCACTTCACCATAAATGAAAGACTACTTAAAGTTGCGATGTCGAAGTTGAAAACTTGCGAAGTTTACAAAGTCATACTCTTGAATAGTAAAGTTAAGGTTACGAAGTCAAAGTTGGAGACTTGAAAACTTGTGCACTAGCGAAGCTATAAAAGTACAGTTTCGAAATTGTAAATTGTTAGATGAATGCTTAGAAGCGACGATATTGGAACTAATACATCAAACCTGACATACTTGAAGGTACAATATAAGCAAATTTTGCAATCAAATAATTATAAAATAACGACAGACATAACCGCGCGTAGTAACTCAACGCGTAGTAGGTCAACGCGTAGTAACTTCACGCGCGGTAATTCAACGCTTCGTAATTCCACACGTGGTAAATCTAATGTGTAGTAATTCCCCGCATCGTAATTCAACGCTTCGTAATTCCACGCGTGGTAATTCTAATGTGTAGTAATCCCACGCATCGTAATACAACGCTTCGTAAATCTACACGTGGTAATTGTAATGTGTAGTAATTCCACGCATCGTAATTCCACGCGTCGTAATTTAGCGCTGCGTAATTCCACGCATGGTAATTCTGATGTGTAGTACTCCCACGCATCGTAATTCCACGCGTCGTAATTCAACGCTTCGTAATTCCACGCGTGGTAATTCTAATGTGTAGTAATCCCACGCATCGTAATTCCACGCGTCGTAATTCCACGCGTGGTAATCCCACGCATCGTAATTTTACGCGTCGTAATTCCACGCGTGGTAATCCCACGCATCGTAATTCCACTTGTAGTAATTCTATGCGTGGTGGTCCCACGCATCGTAATTCTACACGTGGTAATTCGACGCGTGGTAATTCTAATGAGTGGTAGTCCCACGCGTAGTAACTCCACGCGTAGTATCTCAACGCGTAGTAACTCCACGCGTGGTATTTCAACGCGTAGTAATTCCACGCGTGATAATTCTAATGTGTAGTAATCTCACGCGTCGTAATTCCACGCGTGGTAATTCTATGCGTGGTGGTCCCACGCATCGTAATTCTAATGCGTGGTATCTCGACGCGTGGTAATTCTAATGCGTGGTAATTCTAATGAGTGGTAGTTCCACGCGTCGTAATTCCACGCGTGGTACTTCTAATAAGTGATAGTCCCACGCGTGGTACTTCACTGCTTCATATCTCCACGCACGCTAATTCCACGCGTAGTAACTCCACGCACGGTAACTCAGCGCGTAGTAATTCCACACGTAGTAACTCCGCACATTTAATGCTAATTTAATGATAAAATAAAGAAAGTCACAAAGTAACAATACAAACCTAAAAAACCGAAAATGTAATGCAATAAAAATTCCAAAAATTGAACTTTAAATAAAAAATTAAACTCGATGCATCAGAAGATATATCTCAAAACTTTCAGCTTAAATCCAGGTAACAAAACAGAAAGAATCATGCCTCAGATAGACCCATGAATAATCCTTCGTCGGTAGTTTTCACAAGGGCGATAATGAATCCGGAAAACTGATCACGAGTATTTTCTCTGATTTCCCAGGAACGAGAACTGAAGCGACAGCAAGCAGTCATGATGAAGGAACAGGTGAGTGCTAATCGATTATGATCCACCATATCGTTCCCTCCTTTTCTTCCGACTGTCATTGGCTGTAGAAACTTAGACGGTGTGCGTGTGTGTGTTATCTTTCGTAGAAATTAGCCATCGTTTCATTTTGATCTTCGCATACGCTTTACAATTCATCTCGTTTATTACACTAATACGCGAGAATCATTCGGATTATTCTTTCGTTCACTTTTATTCACTTCGGTTATTCATCTAGCTTTTGTACTTGATATTTTGTCTACTTTTTTGCTAGATTTGTAGTTTCGCGTATTTTTTACGACGGTGAGGAGAATTCATCTATTTTTGAAAAATATTTTTTGATATCGACAATTGCTATGGAGCATTCTGTTTACGTGTTTGCTTCGCGTTTCGTGTACATTAAGTGATGGGATTTTAGTTACAAATTTTGCAGTTCAAAAATTTTTGACGATCAAATTAAGGTTTAACATTAAGTTCTTTGGACGTAGCGGACTTTCGCTGTAGTGGAAAGTTAGATACTGGATATTTTGAGAATTTGAAGATGGTCAGAAGATGATCATTAGAAATTTCGAGCTGGTATTTTGAAAATTTGCCCAGTTGCAAATTTGGGTCCTCTGGAAATTTGTGTTTAGCAATCTAGAAATGTGAGAATTCAAAAATGTAGGAAATTGGAAATGTGGAAATTTGGAAACTTGGGAATTTGAAAATGTGGGAAGAAAATTTGAGAATCTACCAATGTGAGAAAATAGGAATTTATGAAATTGCTAATGTAGAAATTTGGAATCTTGGAAATTTGAAAATACAGAAATTAGAAAATTAAAAAATTTGAAAATGTAGAAATCAGAAAATTTGCCTACTCATAAATGTGGAAATTAGAAATTTCGAAAATCTACAAATATAAAAATTAGAAAACTTGAAAACCTACAAATATAAAAATTAGGAAACTTGAAAACCTACAAATATAAAAATTAAAAAACTTGAAAACCTACAAATGCAGAAATCACAAAATTTGAAAACCTACCCTTCTCAAATTTCTCAAACGCTGCAGCGAAAGTGCAATATGACCGAAAGCAACCCATCACTACCTAACCGTTAGCTCTCCTGTTCAATTTTTCTACGAGTGTGAGTTTGGTCTTGAAGTAGCAGATCATAGAGTAGCTCATTTGTGACTCGTTAAATATTGATACCAGGAATCGTCTATTCTTTCGGTTCGTTTCTCCGCAACAATAATCTACGAAATCTAAGAAATGAGAGCGAGATATGCTGTTTAGTTTTTGATCGTGTAGAAGTAGTTTGAGCACTGGTGGACTGTGGATGTGTTTTGTGCCGCAGATGTACATGCAGGAGCTCACCAAGCAGCGCGAGATGCTCTACACCGTCGAGCTGGTATGTCTCATACCCAAATCTAAGTTTAACACGAAGACTCACTAAAACAAAACACGAAACGAATCGAATTTCACTAACTTTCAATTCCGTCATCTCAAAATAAAATTTTTCAACGAAATTCGATCAAATTTTTTGTTATCGAACGAAAATTTCACGGTATTTTATTAATCGTCTCATTTGTTTGAGGTTGCAATATCTAGATTGGAAGGTTCATTATGATCGGGAGGAATTGCGGATATTGGATGACGTGTTGAAAGTTGTGTTGTCAAAGTTCGGTTGTGAATCGATAGTTGAAACTAATCTGCACCCGTCAGCTTCGTCGATTTCTCGCGGATTTATGTGTACACGTTTATTTGTACATTTTCTTCGGGCAATCGACGTTCGCTGTGTTGGACGACACATTTGAGTAACAATAAGGGTGGCAGGAAAGTGGGGAGGTTTACCTTTTTTGAGGATGAAAGTTAGGTATAGGGTTGTGTATTCTGTTGACATTCGAATTGTTAAATTGTTAAATTGTCGAGTTGTCAAATTGTAAAATTGTAAAATTGTCAAAATGTCAAGTTGTCAAATTGTCAAATTGTCAAAATGTCAAGTTGTTAAATTGTCAGAATGTCAAATTGTCAAATTGTTAAATTGTTAAATTGTCAAAATGTCAAGTTGTTAAATTGTTAAATTGTCAGAATGTCAAATTGTCAAATTGTTAAATTGTTAAATTGTCAAATTGTCAGAATGTCAAATTGTCAAATTGTCAAATAGTAAAATTGTAAAATTGTAAAATTGTCAAATTGTTAAAATGTCAAATTGTCAAATTGTCAAACTATCAAGTTGTCAAAGTATAAAATCATCAAAATGTTAAATTATCAAATTGTCAAATTCTATATATCCAAATTGCTGAATTCATCAAACTTCACATCATCTCAATTTTTGAATTTCACTGACTTCTAAAAAAACTAAAAAAGAAAAAATAATTTCACAATTCTATAACATACTTCACAAAGGAAAAATTTCCAAAACTTCAATTTATACAACTCACCTTCATCCTCAAAAAAGAAAAACATTACCAAAGAGTACTTTCCTCTCACCCAGACTGCAAGATGTCAAAAAACTAACACACACATAAATTTGGTAACTCATTTCAAATAAACATGGTTTAATTTTTATTTAAAATGACGTATCAAATAGGTTGCGACCTAGCAACCCTGTACATACTGCTTTGTCGAGAAATCCACTAACCAGTCCTTCGGTGACACATGTCTCTGTTCAGTCATTCGATGATAAATCATTTGCACCCAGCGTAGGCGCTTTATCCACGCTTTTGTTCACGCCTTCGAAACTGTACGTGTCTCTCGAAGAATTATAAACTAGATAAATAAACAAATTAATCGCTGTGCGAACATCGATGCACATCGACCGATGACATTTTAATCGTAGCCTGAAACATTGCACAGTGTGGTTGGGTAAATAACAGTTGCACGGTGTTCCGAACGAAACGAGTCTCGAATCTCTTCGTTTATTTAATTTTTTTTTTTCGTGTCGGGTAGACTTTTATGGAACGTAGTTTGTCGTAGCCCGTGCGTGTCAGAAGTTGTGCTTTCCAACGGGATTTACGAGATTTCTTTGTCGATGCTGCTGCATGAACATTGTCCACGATCCTTTCGTTTCGTCTCGTTCAAACTTGCGGACTGTCTTTAGGAGAGGGAGAGAAGGAGACAACATATGACGTTGGTACGTGCTCTCGAAAATCGTCGGAAGATGGAGGAAAGGGAGAAGAAGCGGATAGAGGCGAGGGCTGAAAGAATCGCGACGAAAGAGAAACGCGCTGAACAGAGGAAGATGGAGATGGAACTCATTGAACAGATCAGGAAACCCGTCGAAGATATGGAATTAACAGGTACGCAAATACACGTTTTACTTATTTTGTTTTTGTAGAAGCTGTTATTTTTATCGGTTGTTTCGTTACAGATCATAGACCACTGCCAGAAATTAAACGAATACCCGGTCTCAAGTTGTCGGGTCAAGCATTCGCGGACATTGTTATGGTGTTCGAGTTTCTGCATAATTTTGGAGAGACTTTAGGCTTTGGTGAGACAATATTTATTATTGTCTTTCGTGTGATTCACTTTATTATCGTTAATTGATTTGATAAGATTAGATGTAGTATGTCTCATAAGACTTGAAATGTAAGAATAGAGTCTCGTTATGTTGCCATGGGCAGTGATATAGGACGCGAAAATCTATAGTCGATGTTCTATAATACTGAATTGGACAAAATTAGAAATGCGTAGTAACTCCAAGCGCGGTAATTCAACGCGTAGTAACCCCACACGTGATAATTCAGCGTATGATAACTCCACGCATCGAAATTCAGCGCATAGTAATTCCACGCGTGGTACCTCAACGCGTAGTAATTTCACGCGAGGTAATTCCACGCGTGGTATTTCAACACGTAGTAATTCCACGCGAGGTAATTCCACGCGTCGTAACTCAGCGCGTAGTAACCCCACGCGAAGGTAATTAAGCGCGCAGTAACTCCACGCGTGGTAGTTCAACGCGTAGTAATTCCACGCGTGGTAATTCAACGCGTAGTAACTCCACGCGTGGTAGTTCAACGCGTAGTAGTTCCACGCGTGGTAATTCAACGCGTAGTAACTCCACGCGTGGTAACTCAACGCGTGGCATATTGGTTAGGTTAGGTTACACTGATACGGTAACTCAGCGCGTGGTAGCTCAACGCGTAGTAATTCCACGCGTGGTAATTCAACGCGTAGTAACTCCACGCGTGGTAACTTCACGCGTCGTAACTCTACACATGATAATTCAACGCGTAATAATTCCACGCATGGTAACATAACAAGAACCTACTCTCCGCAATCCATCCCTCGCTATTCACCTCTCAAACATTTCACTCAAATAAAATACCAAACTTGCACTACCACAACTAATAAAATTCCACCAATAAAATGATTAGACATGGACTCCCTCCCGAGTCTAAAGAGTCTCCAGCTAGCCCTGCTCAACGACGAGGAAGCGGAAGAAGAGATGTTATCAGTGATGACGCACCTACTGGTATGCGCCATCGAGGACCCAGGAATTCCACAACCCGCTAGACACACCACAGGATTAGGCCAAAGCCTACGACAAGCTGACATAACGCACGCAAACATCAGCGAGGTGCTACGAATCTATTTGTACGCGAATGCCACCGGTGAGGTGAAAGCGTTGACCGGGGTCTGTCTGGAACGAGAACGCGACAAGAAGTTCGCCGATCATCATCAGAACGGTGGAGATTACGCTTCGACCTGTTCAGGAAAGAACGCTCAGTTCTATGAACATCTGCACAACAACGAAACCTGGAGGATGTCTGAAAGATTGAGGGACAAGCCGTTCTTGGCTCTGAATCCAACGCACAAGGCGCAGATGCTCGCGTTCCTCTGCAACGAGCTGTTGCAGAACAAGGCTGTGATCAGACAGATCGAAGGGAGCTTGGAGACGGTGGCACAACTTAGGAAGGAGAGATTCGTTTTGGATACTAAGATCAGAAAGTAAGTCTGTGACTCAGACTAAAGTTGTTCGTATATGGTCACTCAAAGTAAAGGTAGTAGTAATCTTGTTGTGCAATTGTTATTTTATTTTAAGTCGAAAGCATTAACAGTACTCAGGACAGTAAGATAATGTTCATATATGTGGCTAGTGATTATTGAACTAAGAACATATATGTGCTAGTATCCTTGAAGTTAACCTTCAGACAACAGCTTGTTAAGATACTCATTTTCTGAAATTTAATTTATTGATCTTTTGCGTAGGCTGAGACAATTGCATAGTAGAAAGGTGCGTATGGAAGCAGTCGGTGTGATCGTGAACAAGACAGGAGACACCATTACCATCGAGAAGAAGGAAGTCGACGAGGAAGGTAACACCACATCGACGGCAGTGGGAACAACGCCTACTCCTGATGAGATCCATCACGAGGACGAGGTTGAGGACATGTCTGAGAACGAGAGCGAAGGAACTCAGCCTGAAGAGGTAGAGCATCTAATATTTTGATTGATTTTGCTAAGTATGCTAGAGTTAGGTTTTTAAAAGATTATAGTGATAGTAACTTCCCCACATAACACAGACACTACCCTTTTATAATACAGATTATATTAAAGATTATTTTCAATATCACAGGAGGAAGACAAGAATCTGTCCGGCGAAGAGCTTGGCAAAAAATTGGACAAACTATTGAAGCAATCAGAGGAGCAGCTGCAGAAATTGAACAGCTCCTCGAAGCAACTGCGAGCGCACATATTTGGCCAGGACAGGTACTGGAGAAGGTACTGGGAGTTGGCCTGCGCTGGTGGTATCTTCGTGGAGGCTATGGAGAGCGCCGAACCGGAAATCCTAGAGCTCCAGGCTGAACTAGATGAAAAGTACAAAAACATGCCGGTGGAAGATACGAAGTCGGAGGCGAATCAAGAGGAGAGCAAGTCGAATGCTGAGAATCGAGAGAACGAGGCTCCGAACGATGTTAAAGAGGAGAAGAAATTTAACTCGAACGAACAAGAAGAGGACGTGAAGCCTTTGTTGGATAAAACGAAATCCGAAGTGGAGGATGTGAACTGCAAGAAGGAACCTGTGCAAAATTGTGGCTCGGAGAATTCGACGAACGTGAAGGAGGAGAAGAAGGTTGATGTGGACGGTTCAATGACGGACGCTAAGACGAACGTCACTTCAGAAGAAATTAAACAGGAGACAGAGGTTGTGAACATGGATGTGGATACGAAGGAGGAGACGAAGAAAGAGCACGAAGAGATAGACGAAGAGATGAAGCCTAATGTGAAGATGGAAGATAAAATCGTTGAGACGATTCCGAATGGCGACAAGTTCAATCACGTTAACAATCTTCATAATGGAAAGGAACTGAACGGCACATTTATTTCTAGTAGGTTCTTCGTCTAGTAGGTTCTTGTAGTAATGTTTGATAGGTGTTGAATTAAATTTTCCATTAGTATATCGTGAATTTATTTGGGACTGTTGTTTTAAGTTAAGAAGTTAACATTATTGTTTAATGAATTACAGATAACAGCAACGAGTTCAACTGGTTTTCGATTCTACCGCGAGAAACCTGCGACACTCCAGGACCGAGTACCAAACAGATATTTGGAATAGCTGAACCCACCGAGCTGAGAATACCAGTGTTCCCTCCACCGGCTAGTCCAAATTACGACAGATGCGATAGTCCAGCACCTTTGATCCTGACCCAAGACGAGGCAGCGCAGCTGGAGTATCTGAAAGTACACGGTCTACCTCCTCCGGGAGAGGCTAAACCAGTACCAAAGGGTAAATTACTTTTCTAACCCTGATCCAACAATTCAGTCAACTAATTTTTCTCCCTACACCAGTTTTATGAGACACACTCAATAATCGTTAAAATATGTTCAGATCTGCGATACGGTTGGTGGAGAATACAAGACGTCGACACGTTTCAAGAACTGTTGGAACACCTTCATTCCCGCGGTGTTCGCGAGAAGGAATTAAAACGTACAACCTGGGCGACCATGGAGTCCTTCCTGGCCGTCACAGGTAGAATCAACGTGGACCCCGGCAACTTAACTGCCACGGAACTGAAATCTACACCCGACGATCCCGATACACCGATCCCGCAACCGGATAACCCTGAGAACTGGAGCGAGCAAGTCGCCTTACGCGTGGATGCGCAACTTTTGGAACAGGTCGAGGCTCTCGAGGACAAGGTCGCCAATGCCAGCATGCAGGTCAAAGGCTGGAAGCTACCTCCACGGGCGGGCACCGAGGAGGCTGAAGAAATTGAGAAACTGAACGAGATGGAGAAAGTGAGCGCTGTCGAACAGGCGCGACAAAGGTTACTGTCTTTGGAAGCTGCGATAGAGAGGAGATACTTGAAACCACCGTTAGGCGTTTGGTAAGGCTGTGGCTGTATTTATAGGTATACAGGGTGTCTCAGAAAAGGAGTATTTAGTTAGGTATCCGGTCACATAGGTATCACTTAGCTATTACACAAGTATACATCAGACATACATGTGATAACTTCCATCATTGTATATCAAATCACCAAACCTTCCATCATTTTTTGAGGCAATCTGTATGACATTACAACGTCAAAGAACAATTTTAACAAGATTCCTGTTGAATTACAGTACGGGCGATCCAAATTTGGCAGCCCTAAAGGCTGAACAGGCGGCGGCTGCAAACGCAAACTCGAGTAATTCGGATCAGAGCAATCAGACACCGGTGCCGCCGGAGGAAACGACTCCAAGAGGTCTGAACAACTGGCGAGAAGCAACAGCACGAGCTCACACATCGGCTCAGCTCGCCATGGCACTGTACATGCTGGAGGCCAGCATCGCCTGGGACAAGAGCATCATGAAGGCTGTGAGTCTAACACCAGCTAGAAACTCGGTCTGCGTCAAGCTACGAAACCGCTGCGTCTCACTCAAAGCTACCACTCAGTACAAACAGCTATTGACTACTTCTCAGGCCTCTGTGGGTATTCGCACTAACTTTACTAACCGAAACTTATCCTCTACCTCACACTGTGGAAACTCTTTCTTCTGTTCTTCCTGTACTGGGTGTACACCGTGCTTTGCAGGGTTTCTTTGACATTTATGATGATGTGACAATTATTCTTGATTTTGGGCGGGCTTGTTGCTATAAATAGGTGGAGGGTGAACCTGATCCTTATAATAAGTGGCTCATAGTGTTCCATGTGTTCTAATTAAAAAAATTTCAAGTTCTCATTTCCATTCATTAACAATTTTACTTCCATATCACATCGTTGTAAATAGCTCAAAAATCATGCAATTGAAGTGAACATCCTATGTACAGTGAACCACAGAGATATCGCTTTCTAAGATGATGGCAACCAGAGAAAAATTTCTTGAAGAAATGTCTGCAAACGAAATAACAAAGGGATTTTTGATAAATTCGTTGTAATCTTTACGATGTGCGAGTAATGCGGCAGTCATAAATCTTGTCATAAAATTGTACGATTAACAGAGAACTAACAGCATTCATGCAACTTAAATGGTGGTTAGAGTTTAACGTAACGGTAGCATGCAACGAAATATGCCGCTTATCGTCTACTAATTTTTATTCCTTTGACGCTTCGTATTTTCCTTTTCTGTAGGGTTATTTCCACGTTTGGTTATGATACATACTCTCTGAACGATGATATGTTATCATTTTAATGCAACCCTGTTCAGACATTTCATTTACTCGTCTCAATTTTAATTCGGGTGATTCGAGAACTATGCACGTTGAAATATGAATTCCGTTCAAATTTATCCTGAACCTATAAGCTTTTATCTCCTTATCAATTATTATACTTTGCATAATAACGTTTATCGCATCGTTTTCTTTTTATTTCAAACGCTTGCGCGATATGATGATCCTTGATACTTTGATGACAATGTCGTCGAAGTGTTGAGATTAAATCGCCTCAAACTTTCCGAATTTTAAGACAGAAAGTTTTCCTTCTTCTGTTACAGAACTGTCAGTTCTGTCACAGTGGAGATAACGAAGACAAGCTGCTACTGTGTGATGGTTGTGATCGCGGCTATCATACTTACTGTTTCCGTCCAAAAATGGAAAACATTCCTGATGGTGACTGGTAAGTTTGCATCTCGAAACACACAGGACAGTCTGAACAATACTGTTCTACAATTCGACAATCTTAAATCGTGTTTCAGGTATTGTCACGAGTGCATGAACAAAGCAACAGGGGAACGAAATTGCTTGGTATGCGGAAAAAGAGTTGGCAAAAACTTAGTGCTATGTGAACTCTGTCCACGGGCTTATCATACCGACTGCCATAATCCTGTTATGCCAAAAGTGAGTGATCATTCTGAAGTTAGATTACATTTCTGATCTAATTCTGGGAGCCATAACTGCACACTAAAGTTTTGAACTGAACTTCGACATAGACATACTTATGATTATCATTTGATATGTCTTGATATATATTATTTCCAAATTTATGAAATTAAAGCAAACTTCAGTTTTGTCAAAATAAATTCAGAGAATTATTTTTTGTAAGCCTTTGTAAGGCAATATATTTTTTGTAAGGCTGTATACCGCTGTCTTTAAGAGTTCAAACGTTCCATCGGAGGCAACATAATCGCAATGAAGTATGCGGATATCTCTAACTAATTGACATTGTTATACTTCCAGATACCAAGGGGAAAATGGTATTGTTCTAATTGCCACAGTAAACAACCAAAGAAGAGAAATAGTAGTCGAAGGAGTCATACCAAAGGAGGAGGCACCAGAGAAAGTGAAAGTTCTGATCATCCACCAGCTAGGTGATTACGTTAACAAAAAACAAAAACCAAACATTGTCAACTCGCTGATTTAACAACGTTTCGTAACGAAGTACAGTAGAAACTCAGATAAGCTACGAAACGATGATTCAATAACATTCAACAGGAACGTGTAAAAACGATGAACAAACTAATAATTTCTGATCGAATAAGAAAGCATAAACTTTTAGACAAACGAACGAACACCGCTTCTAATGCGATTATTATCGTACCGACTTACATCCTCGGCCCGTGTCAAAAATACACTCGTCGATAATTGTTGTAAGGAAATATTCGCATCATACAGGGTGTTCCACGATAGGTTATAACTATACAAAAATAAATCTACACGATAAAAAGCAATCGTCAATAAAATAGGTTTGTCTTCGTTCGAGCGATTATTTTCTACCCCCTGTGAAACGTGTTGTTGTCGGGTCCCCTCCTCGTCGGGGGACACCCTGTACCATTTTGTACAGCGTGTCACGATCATCGACTATAATAACGGGATGGGTATTTTGATTGCTCGACGCTTCGAAAGAGCAGACGGCGAGAGAGACTAAAAAGCGAAACATAATAATATAAACACGAAAGACAAAGAGTCAGAAAGATGAGATAAATATGTTCGATCGAGAACAACGCGCGTGTGTGTGTGTAATAATGTGCGTGTGGCCGGTCTCAAGCAGAAAAACACGCTGTCGAGTCGTATTCGTCCAGAAGCTTAATAAAAATGACGGACAATACCTCGTGCGAAAAGCGAAAGCTAATGGTGCAAATAATTTCTGTTGTTTTGCGTCGCAGTCCAACGCCGTCAACGGCATCGAACACGCACGTAGAGGACGTCAGTTCGTCGGAACCGGCAACGCCTACCGCCTCGCCGAGGAAGGAGGGCAACAATAGGACGCTCACGAAGAAACAACAACGAGAGCTGGCTCCTTGTAAGGTGCTACTCGAACAGTTGGAGCAACAGGACGAGGCCTGGCCGTTCCTTTTGCCGGTGAACACCAAACAGTTTCCGACCTACAAGAAAATTATTAAAACACCCATGGATCTCAGTACGATCAAGAAGAAATTGCAGGACTCCGTGTAAGTTACACGCGTACCACCGACTGCTAGTTAATTGAACGTATTCTATTTAGAAATGCCTCTTTCCCTAAAAAAAAAAATAAAAAATAAAAAAAAAACAGTAAAAAAAAATACATACAAAATCATCTAAGATCTCTAGAAACGCTCTAACTTGATCGTCACAGCTTCAAATCTGAAACATAAAAAAATAAAAACCATTGGAATTATGAACATGTTCCAAAGAAGTGCTTCTCGATACACAGGTACAAGTCTCGCGATGAGTTTTGCGCCGATGTCAGACAGATGTTCATCAACTGCGAGGTATTCAACGAGGACGACAGTCCCGTGGGGAAGGCTGGACACGGGATGCGCAGTTTCTTCGAAATGCGTTGGACCGAGATTACAGGCGCGCCACCCCCACATCCGCAAACGCATAGCTGAGGTTCGGTCCGTTCTCGTAACACCTGCAACAGTTTTGCCCACTTCTATTACTAGGAGCCGAGTGTGGCTCTAGGAGAGATCGCTCGAGAGAGAGAGATTTCGTTCGAAGAGACTATAATGAGAAGGCGACACCCGTTTTCCCCGCTGCACGTTTGTTGGCCTCGTTCTAGCGGCCGACAGGACATCTTCGATTCTGATAGTTATTAATAAAAGGAAATAAAATGCGGATACATCTTCGTGCGCGTCGTTACGAGCGTTCTGTTCATTCGCCTTCTCCTCAGACTTCTTTGTTTCCGTTTCTCGCCGTAATCGACGCTCGCGTGGACTCTTCTCGCATCCTTTACATGCGTACACGAACATAGATACATACACTTATAATACTCGAAACGGTACGACGAATATTTTCAACGGCTTCGTACTTCTCTTTTTTCCAGTTACGTTTTAGCGACGAGTTTTCACATTCTGTTCGTCGAAACTCGGAGATCGTGCGCGTAGGGTAACGGAAATAGGCACCGGAAGCTGTCACGATAGATTAACTGTTTGTGATTCGGGGAGCTTCGTTGAAAGTCGACGCGTATTAATTGATTATTGTGTTTTGGATAGTTGTTCCGCGTCTTATTCGTTCGTAGTCTTCGACCTCATCCATCCCCCTTCGAGTTATTAATTACGAATACACACAAATGCAGATGGTCACTGTACTTACCAAGTAAATTTTTGCCTAAGCAAACACGAGATGTAATTTGCGATTGTATTATACAGGCTTAGCGCCGAGCCGTCGGCAAAAGAAATATTTTGCAAGATAATGAATGTGAAAAAGCAGAGGTATACATATATAAATATATAAATATAAATATAAATGTATAAATATGAATATAGTGTACATGTATACTATATAGATAGTCACGTCACACGCGAACATTCGAACACTCACATCTTTGCCCATTTATGAACGAAAATCAGCACGATAATAAAGGGTAACATTTGCTGTAGAATAAGATGCAACAGGATGCAAGATGACATACGAAGTCAATCTTCCAGTTAAGGACGGAGTTGATGCCATTCCACGGATTCATTACCCTTCAGTTTCTTTTCTCTTTTTTTTTCTTTTTAATTCGCTTGACTACTTATTTATTTATCATCGAACGGAGAAGATGTTCGATAACTCGACGTGAATCTTGAGAGAGGATTCAGAAAACTTTGGAGATTCTTGCATGTAGGTTTGGAACGTTGTTTCCGTAGAAACGGGGTAATATGTGTTTCTAAGTTTAAGATTAATTATTATGTCGAAAATGAATTTCCTGACGGTATTAACGAAATTATCGAATTAAGCGAAATTTGTAAAAAAAAAAATTCGAATATGTATATATCTTATACATACATGTATTCTCCAATCATCTCGATTGTTTAACAGTCTTTTCGGATAATTGTGTGTGAGCATTTTCGACACTTTTTTTAATTCGCGCTTGAAATTAACGCTGTAAGATTCGAATATCTTGTTTCGAAGCAATATCTAAGAAATTCAATTTAACATTATGGTGTGTTCATCGTGTACGTTGAATGGCAATTCGCTTTAACGCGTAGCCACAATTGAAAGAGAAAAAGGCAAGGTAGGCAGGCCAACGAACGATTGTGTTTTTCGTTTCTCGAAATTAAAGGAAAGCAGTTTTAATCCTTCACGTTGCGTAGTTGAGCGTTTAACTACGGATGCAAAGCGCAGGAGAATTTTATCCGCGTCGAGTTCCAAGCGATAGGATCTCGTTGTTTGATTGTTCGAAGTAGCACGCGCGCGAGTTTTTTAATGCGATGTTCGATTTCGATCTAGGATTATAAGCAATGTGTAATAATCTCACGCAGTGTACCCCGATGAGGTGACGATGATTCGACTTTAAGGCATACTTTTTAAACGAACGAAATATATATGTATATCGTGCGTCAGGGCGTTGTTAGAGCCATGCTACCATGTATGGACGATGATGGCGACGATAACGATGATCTAGGATGATGGTGGTGTCGGTAGTGATTCTTTGGATTAATATTGATAAGCCGCGGTACCTTCGTAAGTGTGACCATCGCGCGAACGATAAAACGATTTAAAAAAAAACACGAATAAAACGTTAACAATATCTTGTTTTTTATGTAATTGATGTACATTATTGCTCGTAATAGCGTTTAGCTATGTAATAACGAAGATTCAAGTGGAATTAGGGAGAGCGTGAGAGGGAGAGACAGAGAAGAGAGCGGGAGAGATTAAATGGTTCGGCCGTAGTGATATGTGCTAAACATTCGTAGTATGTAAAAGTATTAGCTAGATTATAAAATGCCGCGTGAAACGATTACGATGTAAAAGATGATTCGAGAGAGATGTGCGGGGTGCGGCTGGGACACGAAACGGATGTACCGTCGTCCTGACGTCGATCCAAGAACGATCAGATCGGTAAGATCGTAACGAGTAAAAGCGCGCGTCTTTTCTATTTCAATTCGTATCTCTTGATTTGCAGACGATGTTAGAGTTTGCGGAACTCGGGGCAAAAATCGACATCGTTTCAGAAATATAGAAGTTTTTCAATTTGAAAAGTTTCTAAACTTGGAAAACTTGTGAATTTCTAAATTGGATAAATTACAAAATTTGAAGTGCCTCGTTTGCCCAATGGTAACGGTGGTCCTTATACATGGTTATTCACGCAATTGATCGTATACTTGTGTGCAAATTGCCAATAAAATACAAACATATTCGTAAGCAATAATGCTCGATTTTGTGAGTAGCTATGTATACAAGTGCTCCACGATGAAATCGCCAAATGTAATGCCGGCCACCCACAATGTATCGTGAAAATGATAGATTTGGTGAATATAGAAATACTACCGATTCTCAGTATCTTCATTGTGGTAGTTGCTATAACGGCATATAGAATAGCTTTCATTGACCGCATCCTAATACCATCGAGATCATCTCTAATGTTAACAGAAGTTCATCAATATTTATTATCAACTGTAAACCTTCCATTTAACCCTCATAAACCCCATAAGTCGAATGACTTACGAGGATCGTCTCATAGATGCAATAGAATTGTTCATATAAGATTTTTTATTCTAAATGACCTGCCAATGCTGGCAAAGTTTGTTGATTTCACCGCAGAGTCCCCTTATTTATATTCCTGCAAATCAATGAATTTTATTTACTTCACCCTGTGACAATCGTTAGTTTCGATAGATATGTTATTATGATTTGATATGAAGCGCAATGTCGGGGCATTTCACGATCTTACTGAACGTTCTTAGGATATACGTCAACACGAGCGTACATGTGAGAAACATTATACGTGTACGTTAACTTTATGCACGCCTTGCACCCTCGTATATATATATTATAATCGATGCGTTAGACATCTCATACATTCAGACACACCACCACCAACCAACAACAAGAACAAATAATTTTTTAAGATTCAATTATTATTTAAATAGTACAGTTACATTGTTAGTATGAATAACGACGCTTTTTATACGAATTTTAGTTTTTAACGTCGATCTTATGATATATTATATGGTATAATGATAATGACAATGGTAATAACAATAACGATAAATGATATCGATAATGGAAAACAGATTATTAAAGAGAAATGGAAAAAATATGCGCAAATGAGAAATGGCGAGAGAGAGAAAAATACGTGAGAATGAGCGAGAGAAAGAATTAATCGAAAGAAAGACACAAAAGAGAGCGTGTGTGTTTAAGTTAGATGATTGTCTATAGTATAAACGAAGGCATACGTTAGGTATGCCTCGATGCTATTTAAACAGACTTAATTAATGTATTGCAAATGAATTAATAAAGTGTAAGCGAAGCGTGTATCTGTACAGTGAAATTATTTTTTTCTCTGTTATTTGAATCGCTCGAATTTCACGAAGTATTCTTTCTTTTCCAACTTACATTTCTCACCGATTTTACTTTTTATCCATTTCAACGTGTTTTTCTTTATACAAACTTCAATCGTCTTATCAGTTTACACGGATTGAAATTTCCCGCTATCGGCCATACTGCTGTCAGTTCTGCTATCTCGCTCGAAAGCATTTCTTATCTCTCTCACGGTGGACTGTGAACGTATTTGTACGTACATGTCGCGTGACTACAGTATTCGTACCGGTAGAGGTTAAAAACGCTTTAACGTACTTAATGTTTCTCGTTTTACATTATTATTCGCACTTGTACATAAATTTCCGAAACAGCATGCGATGACGACTCTCAGCTACGTTCGAAGATCTGGCAGTAAGTAAATCTTCAAGTATTCTCTTGATTCCATTGGCAACGGAGTACGATGTCAACGAGCTCCAATGAAAGCTCACAAAACAAATGACGATTTGTAATAACAACGTCAGTGCATATTTTAATCCGAAGCGTTCCAAATGGCCCAATTTAATTATTATTCTATAGCCAAAACACCTACTTTGGAATTTTTAATTTCGGAATTTTGACGAATCTTTAAAAGTTTTTGGATTTTGTAAAAGTATTGAAATTTCCGTATCTTGAGACCTTGAAAAATATGTAATTATGTCACAAGTAAACCGCGAAATCGTTTGCAGAAATGAATAAAATTTAATAAGGTTCTGCTTTAAATGTTTTTTTTATATTTATTGCTGTCTGTTATCTAATAAATGTTTTATTTACATTCCAATACATTTTGTATTTTCAGGAATTCTACAGCGATTACAAACATATAAGCACAATGCTTGCAATCTTCGAGTATTCTTGCGGAGCGAGTCGAGCTTTGTACCGAAGCGGGTGCTTATCGTGAAAAAATTGTCGCGATATCATTTCGAAAAACTGCGAGAACCAGATTTGAATGAGGAGCAGTTAAAAATGAAGTTGCAGGAAAGAGGATCTGATTATGAACTAATGATGGCTAGTCATATTGCAACCATAGCTGTGAAAGATGAAGTAATTAAATATCTGAAAAAAATGAATATAGAGTACAGAGTAATAAACAGGTATAATTTATATTAAATCAAATAAATAAATCAAATTTTATTAATTAATTATTTCTTGTAGGGCAAATCTTGATATCGCGAATTTTGATTGGGCCGATTTGGTTCTTCCGATCGGCGGTGATGGCACGTTCTTATTAGCATCAAATTTAATATTCGATAACAAAAAACCTATAATAGGTATTAATTCATTTCCGGAAAGATCCGAAGGTTTTCTACTATTACCACCAAAATACACCAAAAGAATACCCGAAATTTTTGAAATGTTAAAGGCCGGCCATTATAATGTATTAATGAGACGAAGAATTCGGACGACTATTATAGGTGATGATATTTGGAACCCACCTTTTCACGCGCACGAAAAAGGTCGTGTTACAGGTTGCGAAAAGTAATGCAATTAAATTCTTATGTCTATGCTTAAACCGTGTGTGTATATTGTAAAATATTGTTTGACATTTACAGATTTTATACGGAGGCCGTAAAGAAAGGCGCACCTAATTTACCTAAGGAAAGACGTTTACCTTGGTTAGCGTTGAACGAAGTAAGAGTCTTCAGCGGCTATGTGTACCTTTATATTATAAATTACTAACGCAATTCTTTTTTAATATCATTAGGTTTTTATAGCGGAGATACTATCGGCTAGAACAAGTGCTCTGCTCATAAAGGTAGATGACGAACCCGACTATCGTCTCGTGAAAAGCTCTGGGATATGCGTAAGCACAGGAACAGGATCGACATCTTGGTACAAATCTATAAATAGCGTTAATCCACAAATAGTACACGAGATACTGAATCTTGTAAACAAAAAGGGACAATTCAGCAATGAGGAAATTGACAAAATTTGTTCTACCTTTAACGAAAGTTTACAAGTTAATGCTGGTACATATATTGTTTTAGTGTAACCAACATGAGTGTAAATTTTCTTTATTCAATTTTTATATATGTTTCAGACGAATTGAAAATATGTTATTCTATAAGAGATATGATAGTAACCAATATATGGCCAGTACCAAAGACAATGCAAACCCGTGGGTTCTGTAATAAATTAATAGTAAGATCACAGTGTTATGATGCCGGTTTAGTTGTGGACGGCGGTATAGCCGTACCGTTTAACTTTGGAACTACAGCAGTATTGGAAACTCATCCTGAAGATTCCTTACGATCATTCACTCTTCCAGCTTGATACTACCAGTGGAGCAATTAATTATTAATACTTTTTTACCTCACATTTACTTGAAACTTTAAAAGGGCATAATTTAATGTTTGCATTTACTTCAGTTTAAAGATTACTATAATTTTATTGCGGTCGATGCGCTACTGTACAAGATGTATTAAAATATGTTATCTGAAGTGGAAATAACAGAATCTGTATAATAGTTTTGTATAATATAAATGAAATATGATAATATATTCTACCAAAATAAAAGTCAGGATTATTATTTCTAATTTGTCCTTTTTATAACTTAATTTTAAGTGCTTGGTAGACCCAAAATATTTGCAAAGGTTTCTTCTGATCACAAACTTGTAATCATAAAACGAACTTGAAGATGGCACCACGTGCACTTTTGTTGAATGGCGCCGCCGCCTTTCGGAAGGAAAACTCGCACGAAATTCATATAGATACAGTATACTTTCTTTGTGTTTAGTCTTGTTACATTGAACAATCGTGATATTTGTTGTGCTTTTTAAAATATTTAATTTTTTTTAATATCATTTCACGGGATGATGCGCGAGAACAACGCATCGATAACTCACCCTTTAACAGCTCAATTGGATTTATGAGGATACATAGAACCTAAACGGTAAACAAAAGTCATCAATCCATTACACTTTTTTATAGCTAGAAGACTTCCTTATGCTTAATACTTATTGAAACACTCAAGCATGTATTTTATGCAGATTTTTCAGCAAAAATTACTGAGAATTATCATAGAGCAATTACAAAAATTTGACGTTAAATAAAGACAAAGCATCTCAGTAAATTTTGAGGTTAGAATGTCATTAATTGTCAGTTGAAGGATACGTTGTTAGAGGTCTATCATTATCAATGTATTATCATTGATTTTTCTGGATTTATGTTAGATCATTCGTATAAATATGTATTGATGGAAGATATAGATACAGAAAATATTGTACACATTTACACACCGTAATGTCTATATTTTGAAAATTCATTAGTAGGCGTAAGGTCATCGACCGTATCAGCTGTTGCATTTCGTACACTTTGCAAACTTATACATTTCTTTTGTTTATAAAAAACGTAATTAATTTGTATTTATAATTCGTCATGTATTGTTTTTATCAATGGATATTAAGTAAATGTTTCATTAAATGACTGAACACTGCCATTAATTCGTCGCTAAAATAATTTTATTTATTCTATTATAATTTCTTATGTATATGAATAAAATGGTACACACCTCTTCGTAACAGTTCCTTTATTAACGATAATTTATTTAAACATAAAATTCTTGCACAATCTTTTTTGTTCGAACAGTAACCCTGAATGATCGTTTATCGATGCACATATATTTACATACTAACGATTAGGTCTCTGATTCCCACATAAATCGAACTCATTCAAATATTTCTCGCGAGCTAATCGAATTTCCACTTTCCCATTTTCCTTATCTTTCATTTCAGTTATTTCTGGAAAAGTTTCTGCGATAATTCGCATTCTTGCATGCGTCATATGATTGATCTAGTATTGTCATAAAATTAATCTACTTGTAAATTGACGCATCCGTTTTATCGCACACCTATCGTAACAATTTAATCCCTTGTGCAGGTCATTCTATGACATTGAAAATGTAAGATCTTTGTTTTATTTATCATACTGTTTGCGATAATACAAAGAAAAATAACTTAATAATATTAACAATATTTCGAATATTAATATTTACAAGAATATTGAGATCTAGATCTATATATAGATATCAATTTCGAGTACATAGGAAAAGATTAAAAATCGCAAAGTGTAAATACACAATGCAATCGTTCAAAAGAAAGAACTCGCGATAATTGGCCTGTTTTCGTAACAATAAGAGTTGTGCGCGTAACGTTACTCTTCCGACGATTACAGAGTAATTACTAACCGTGTTATTTTTCAGGCCATCGTCTTCGCGGATATCAAAGTCGGGCTGGTAAAATGGCAGATGACGAGAGGCAAATTAGAGCGGCCGCGGAGACTTTGCTGACCGGATCTATTAACTCCCAGAGGAGTTCGTACACTCATCACTCTATAACCCGAACTCCGGATTTCATTCTTAGCGAGGATCTTATCGCGGGTGTAATGCAGAACGGGAGGATGTCGAATATCAGACGGTTCTTTTGCCTCTTCGTCACCTTCGATCTTCTGCTCACTTTTCTCATGTGGCTCATTTGTACGATGGTAAAAATACATTATCGTTTTTAAGTTAGGTTTATCGATTCTTCGTACTTAATCGTCATGTTTTTAGATCGCTGGGGAGAGTTTGGAGTCCGCTTTCATGAATCAAGTAGTCCACTATCACATAAAAACCTCTTTGTTCGATATAGTGGTAAGTATTTGGTGTAAGGTTGCTCGAGAAATGATTCGTGATAATTATTTCGTGTTCGTCGTGAACAGAGATTTTATGGATTTCATATCCTCAGATGGCAGCGATTTGCAGGTTCACGGTGCTGTTGCTCTTCTACGCGTTACTTCGTTTGGACCATTGGATCATCGTAGCTGTAAGTGGATTTCGTTAAAATACTCAAATATTATCGCTGAAATTATAGCGATGTTTGTTTCTAGTCAACGACTGCTACGACGTGTGCCTTCTCGATCGCTAAAGTGTTTCTTTTCGATGTAAGTAATTATCGAATTAAACTTTATCAACAAATTTATTATTCCACAACTTGTTTGCAGTGGTCGGTATGCACTCAACCAGTATTTCAAGTTCTTCTTATCCTCACATCCTTTGTGCTGTCCTGGGTGGAAGCTTGGTTCTTCGACATCCGCGTGCTACCTCAAGAGACTCAAGCTAGAAATTGGATTAGACGTATGACACGCGATTGTATTTTATAGGAGAACACTCGATATGTCTTCTGGAAGTAAATGGAAGCTTGATATTGACTTTAGATTTCGGGGGCAATGAGAGAGAACCGCTTCTACGAGGCGTTACGTCGGAAACTCGCCAATACACCAGCGTCGAACCTCCCGCAGGTACATTCTTTACTCCTATGGACTCACCAGATCATTCTGATCAGGAGAATGAAAGTTCAAGGAGAATAGGGAGCTCTAGAGGTTTACCAAAAGGGGGAGAGCCGTTCGGTTCTAAACCTCTACCCAAACTCACGCCAGAGATGGTACGCGAAAATTTGTATTCAGTCGTTCACAGGAATATTTTGAGACAACGATGGACTTATCAATCTCGTTTTTATAAGCAATTCTTAACTATGTTTAGATAGAGGATTACAAAAGGAGGGCTAATGTGCTAGTGCAGGATTGCCATGATTTGTTGCAATCTAAAGATTGGCAAATCGAAAGTATATTGTCCAATGGTGATATTATCTTTTATGTAGACCGTCCTAAAGAGGGAAGAATTTTAAAGATAGTAGTAAGTTCGCAATGTTATTTTATAAGATTCTTTTTAGTATTCTGTTAACATCATTTGTTCTTTTTCAGGGAATAATTGATGCCCCTGCTAGTATACTTGCCGATCAATTATTTAACGACATTGAAGGGTTACCATCGTGGAACAAACTTGTTTCAGAATCGAAAAAGTTACAGGTAACATTTTATTTGAAATATGTATATTTGGTGCAATACGTGCTTCACTTGATTAAAGTGAGTGTAGGAGAAGTGGTCGTTTACTATTGGCCTAAGGGGAGCCTTTCCTACATTTCATATTAATTAAGAAAGCCTTCGTTGCACGCAACCGTACAATAATTACAGTGATTCATTTCTACGCATTTTTTTGATCAGCATATTGACGAAAATACGGATATCATTTACCAAGCAACGAATCCTCATGGCGGAGGTATTATTGGCGCACGGGATTTCGTTATTTTAAGACACCGTACGCAGTATGGCAATTATTATATTAGCAGTGGTACATCGGTGCCTTTTCCTTTACCACAACGTAGTAATTTTGTTAGGTAAGACAAAACCATAAAAGTTATGTTATATTATAAAATAATATTTTTGGAATGTTTTTTAAAGGGCTGAAAACACTATAAGTTGTTGGGCCTCAGAAGAAATTCTTAACGAAGAGAATAAATGTCGATTCACATGGATTAATAATACAAATTTGAAAGGTTGGGTACCGCAAAAGATTGTAGACAAATCGATGTCTACGGCGCTGGTAGATTTCATGTCTTATGTGAGGAAATATGTGGACGATATGCAAAGATCTTTCATTTAGGTGTAACACTTGTTTCCATAATCGGTCAATCGAGCCACGGTCTTTCATATTCATCCTATGTATTCGTGCAATCGAAATCAACTTCAATTTTTTACGGAGTTTCCAACAATTCGAGAGGAACACAATATCAAATATAAAATTATAACATGGTGTCTCTGTAATGTTTCGTGGGTTGTGCATTATGTGTAAACGCAGAAAAAGTCTGTGTTTGTTTCGTGTCGGAGAATTAACAGACTGATAAAAAATTGGAAAAAGACTTTTTCACACACTTTGTATTTCGTAAATAGAACGTTTTCAAATTTAGAGACACGTATCGTTATATAGCATTTTTTATCGAAGCTGTATTTTAAATTAGTAGAGGCATTTTGAAGTGGTGAAATATAACTTGGAAGGAACCATATTGTGTGGTCACCTTATCAACAAAATGTGATATGAGTTTTGTATTGCTTCTTTACGAATGCTTAGAAAGCAGTTTTATTATAATAAAACAGAACAAATATTTCCATTAAATTATGCTTGAAATATTGATAATAATTGTGGCATTTAAATGTTTTATTCTTCTATGTAACTTTGCTCTTATCGTTCTCTACAGTCTTTGTTCCTAATATAAAAATGTTTATTTTCGAATGTAAAATAATGTTAGGAAAAATTTTATTATATAAATATGTTTTTTAATACATATACTTGATTATCGCAGTTTTAGAGAACTTCCATTTAGATACATGTATATCAATGTGTATAAGTGTTTTATGCTTAACACAAATTGTTACTTCGCTACATGTTCCAGCAAGTTGAATTATTGTATTCATGACATAGATTTCATTGCTATAAAACACTCGATCATGCTTATAGTTATGTTATAGGTTTAATTATAAAATTATTATGATACCATGTACAAAGCTATGTTGAAGAAAAGTACCAAATAATTAAAAGAAAAAAAGATTTCATGTAAAATGAATAGATAGATATAAATAATTCAACACCAATAATGTACTAAAACATAATTTTTTATGTTTGTATATACTATTAGCGTTTTAACAAAACTGTTCGTTTAATATGTTTCACATAAGATAAATAAAATATGCAAAAATTAAAACTTCTAAAAATTACTATATAGTACTTGAGAATAATTGTTTTATTTCTTTAATATGTACAGTACATTACGTACAATTACATATTAAATATTCTTCATTAGTTCTTAACTTGCCCACCATATATTTGATATATAATCAATGTACATACATTTTAGTACTGTAAGTCGATAAGAATGTCATTTTCATGATTGCTCAGCATACCACATTAAAATTTTATGTTCATAGAATAATACTAAAATTCATTTTCTATTCTAAGCTATATGTGAACATTTAAGTTTTCTTATTCATTACAATTACCTTCTATATTTCTTTGTACTTGTATATTATTGCATGATTCGCTAGTCACGTTTTATTTTTCGTTTGTTAGTACATTAATTTCAGTAAAATAAGTTACGTAGAATTTATAGTAAATACGAGTGAATTGCGATTTTGAACAACGATAAAATTGATATGTATCGAAAATCGATTATAATGTACCTAATTTTATAAAAATGGCCTAAATAAAAAAGATTGCTTGTAAATTGTCATCAATAAATTATTAAATTACCTACGAGATTCTCTTTCACGGAACTTCACGACAAATTAAAACTTCTATTCATTTTTGTTTGCATTACAATTCGTACTTTGTAAGCGGAAACATAACGTGTTAACGCGGACATGATGGATGTGTACGAGTTAATTTATCGTGCGATTCCCAACACGTATTCACCGTATCTTCGTGTACGAAATATTTATGTACACTGTATTAGTACATAAATTCGTATCTGCACTGGATATATCACACAGTTACATAGACTACAATTTATTTCTACGAGTGTTTTGTTTTTTAACAATCAAATATGATACTCGAGTTACGAACGCGTAATAGCAATTTTAGCGGGAGCGTTCGTATCACGTTTCAATCTTTATCCCGCGCAATTTTACGGAAAGGTTAACAACAAAGGTTAACACACAATCATTTAAATTTTATTTACCTTGTCAAAAGTCCATAAAAAGTTTATGATTTATAAGACAACATATTATGGAGACTTCGAGAGAAAGCGATCGAAATTGCATCGTTCGCACTCAGATAGAATAAACGACACTTACCTTGAAATCTCGAAGTATCAAAGAAGCAATTTGTAAACGGGAACCAATTACCGTGCTGAGAAGTCGTTTCCCGAGTAAAGGGAAAAGAAACCGTCTAATAAACGAGGAAGTTGTTAAATTATTCACAGCGATGCGCACGCATTAAACGTCCGATACAGAATCGGTAGGCCAGTGCCGTAGAACAGGTGGCGCTAGTGATGGAGCCACAACCGAAAACCGTGATGGGTAGTCAGTCGGTCTCGCGCCTCACGCGTGTGTACGTCGGTGAACGTGTTCGTCTATCGCGTTCGTACGTCGTGTGTCGCGGTTGCTTTACATCAGTTTTAAAAACGATTGTTGTGACGAGGACATTTGCTCCGTTGTACGTGGCTGCGATTTGCATCTCCACGGAGCGACACCGGTCCACAGCGATGCCGGAAACGTAAGGGACGCTCCGGAGCGTCAACGAAGGGCTGATGCAGAAATGGTGAGTTTAATTATTCTTACAACTTTAATTCCGCGTGTTTTAAACTCAATACCGGTTTTTTCTGGTTTTCTCTCCTTGTGTTGGTACGCATTTACCGGTACTTTTTGTGACAAGCGTGTGCGTAGTGTCGATTATTTTTACGATCGTTTTGACAGTCGATTACTCGCTGTTTATGTGACTCAATTTGCCATCAAATTTTAGTATTATATTTAACATAATTTTTGTATTTTTTGTAATTAAGAATTTCGACATTTTTTATTTGTTTTCTAATGTTTGTAATTGCAAGGTTTTTATGAGCAGTTATGAACTTTTACAAAATTAATTTTTGGTGAAATATTAGTTATTAAAATTGTAGGAATTTTTGTATTGAGAATTTAAGACTTAAAACGAAAATGCAACGAAAGGATAAAACGTTGGAGAACGTGTGCAGGATGTTTTTGGTACAGACGGTTTTTTGACCTCGATAAGTGTTCGATTCGGAAATCGAACGAAACAGACATTCGATAAATCTCCACTTGTAACTTCCGCTATTCCTTTCTGGTTTATGCGCCTCGAGACTTATCGAGGTCGCGCTTTCGATATCTATCTCTGATCCTTCGGTGCGATCCTTTTGACCTTCGACCTTCCGAATCGAATGAATACGCATATTACGAATATCTGTATACTCTACATGTAACATAACAAGTCATAAAATGAAATACACTTTAAAATAAAATAGGAAAGAAATTAAATTAAATAGTACACATTGCTAACACGTTGGTTGCCATGTTAACGTTGCAACTCCTCAAACGTAATTTAATAAATAAAAAACTATGCAAAATGAATCGCCATTACCAAAGCCGCGAATAAAGAATTTAAATTCGAAAATTAATTATTTGTAGCTAGAACGGAAACCGCGCATTAAAATTTCAGTACGTCTGACTACACACAGTCCGCTTTCACTGCGGCGCTGAACCTGTTACGAGCGTAATGAAATAAAATTTTACCTTCAGAGAGTGGCGAGAACAATAAAGAAAATTTCTAAACGCTTAAACAAGAATTGTGCTACGATTTCCTTTTTCTTAACAAAGACAGGATTTCGCGGTTTCGAATGCATTATCGTTGGAAAAGTAACATCCTCTCTTTTTGTACGTGCACTTCCGCTTTGAGGTAACTTTGTTGGAAACTAGTTCCTGTCGTCTTTTCCTCTTGAAGGAAGTTTCAACGAGAAGGAAAAGTTTTTCGTTCGTTTTAACGAATCCCGTTTAGGCTTCGATTTTTTTACGTAATTATACGGAAAGTATAATTTTAATTCGCAGGTCCTTTCCAAAGGTCAAAGAAATCAATTTCGAAAGTTTCTAACGTGGGAAAGTTTGCCAAAATCGAAGATTCTTTGATATAAATTAAAGAAAGAAAAAAGGCACACAATGTTTCTCGTTTTCGTTGAATAAAATTTACCTAAACAGACGCGAAGATTTATGAAACGTCCTGATACGTTTCAACAGGTTGTTGATTCGCTCCCCTGTTTTTCTTCCCCTAAATCATCGAAGAAGAATACGCACTAAAATCCCTTTCCGCCTCACCCCAATTTCCGTATGACGATATTGTTTCTATTCCGGAATTGCCGTGGTTTATATCGCTGGGCTACCGGGAACAGGAATAAATGTAGACGCCCGAAAGGAGCGTGATACGATGTTAGCTAATTTTAGCGATTTTACGAGCGTTTTGCGATAAAATGAAATTCATGGGAAACCGAGGTGACGACTGACTTCGTAGTTACGGCCGTTTGTTCGCGTTAAATTATCGTGCCACGTTGTTCACTTCAACTTCTATCGAACATCCACCATTCTATTCTGCTCGTACATAAAATTTCTACCTACTTTTTCACTGTCGTGAATTAAAACCGTAACTTCTTTATTTGTCAAATTGATATCGATACGATTAGGTGTACGTGGTAATTCAACGATTGGTAATTCTACGCGTGGTAATTCAACGCTTCGTCATTCCACGCGTGGTAATTTAACGCTTCGTCATTCCACGCGTTGTAATTCTAATAAATGGTAGTCCCACGCTTCGGAACTCCACGCGTGGTAATTCAGCGCTTCGTAATTCCACGCGTGGTGGTCCCACGCATGGTAGATCCACGCGTGGTAATTATAATGAGTGATAGTCCCACGCTTCGGAACTCCACGCGTGGTAAATCAGCGCTTCGTAACTCCACGCGTGGTAATTCTAATGAATGGTAGTCCCACGCGTGGTAATTCCACGCATCGTAAATTCCACGCGTGGTAATTCCATGCGTGGTAATTCCAATGAGTGATAGTCCCACGCGTCGTAATTCCACGCGTGGTAATCCTATGCATCGTAATTCCACGCGTGGTAATTCTAATGCGTGGTAATTCCACGCGTGGTAATTCCAATGAGTGGTAGTTCCACGCGTGGTAATTCCAATGAGTGGTAGTTCCACGCGTGGTAATTCCAATGAGTGGTAGTTCCACGCGTGGTAATTCCAATGAGTGGTAGTTCCACGCGTGGTAATTCCAATGAGTGGTAGTTCCACGCGTGGTAATTCCAATGAGTGGTAGTTCCACGCGTGGTAATTCCAATGAGTGGTAGTTCCACGCGTGGTAATTCCAATGAGTGGTAGTTCCACGCGTGGTAATTCCAATGAGTGGTAGTTCCACGCGTGGTAATTCCAATGAGTGGTAGTTCCACGCGTGGTAATTCCAATGAGTGGTAGTTCCACGCGTGGTAATTCCAATGAGTGGTAGTTCCACGCGTGGTAATTCCAATGAGTGGTAGTTCCACGCGTGGTAATTCCAATGAGTGGTAGTTCCACGCGTGGTAATTCCAATGAGTGGTAGTTCCACGCGTGGTAATTCCAATGAGTGGTAGTTCCACGCGTGGTAATTCCAATGAGTGGTAGTTCCACGCGTGGTAATTCCAATGAGTGGTAGTTCCACGCGTGGTAATTCTAATGCGTGGTAATTCCACGCGTGGTAATACTAATGCTTGGTAATTCTAATGCGTGGTAATTTGATGCGTGGTAATTCTAATAAGTGGTATTCCCACGCGTGGTAATACTAATGCTTGGTAATTCTAATGCGTAGTAATTCTAATAAGTACTATTCTCACGCGTCGTAATTCCACGCTTGATAAGTCACCGCTCCGTAATCCTACGCATCATAATTCCAAGCGTGGTACATGTTCGCAGCTCTTCCAAGAACGATATCTTCAACTGAAAACTGAATCATCTCAAACCCTACTATCGGTGATAATTTGCTCAAATCGACAAGTGAGACCATAAACACAACACTAAAACGTATTTAAAGAGGCATATTTCGCGATTAATCCAAAGCTTGACGGAAGTCCAGAGGGATCAAAAACTTAAGAGGACAAGTCGAATAAAAAATTTTATGTACCTTCCCAACGTCTCTAATCCTTTGAGTCGCCTGTTATGCTGTCGTCTTCAAAGCAATCTTTACGTGTATCTTCAATCTTCCACTGTATCCCTTTTCTTCTCGTTGCTCGTAAATCCTATTGGTAGCTTTTGCACGCGCGCTGTTTTTCTACCATTTCAAATTTCTACGTTTCTTTTTAATTCCCGTCATGGTTTGTCTTTTTAACATACTGCAATCCAGTCGACTTTCTTTTAATTGGGTACAAAAATGGTGGATTGTGTTATGTGTTTTGTAGCGATTATATTGCCTGTTTTATAAGAACTATTCGTGGCTGCATTATTACCTGTTTTATAACTACTGTTTATTTTATAACAATCGTTTCATAACCACTGTTTTGTGAAACGATTAAAATTGTTGGAGTATTAAATGCGTATAAATCTGAAATAATCTTTGAGCGATAGAATGTGGAACGAAGTTTTAAAGCAATTATTTTTTATACGTGCCATCCGAAGCGGTTAGCAAATCCTCCGGGAATGAAGGGTAGTTGAAAATTTCCTGTTGGGGCTGTAAAGAAATTTTTAACATTGCCCCCAATTTCCCTTCCCTTTCGTTCTTTGTCTTTCTCCCTTTGTGACAATTTTTTTCTCTTTTCCACTGTTTTCCCTCAACATCATCCCCTCACGAAGGTCAACCAACGTAGGCTGGTTACCATAGCGACACGCAAGTTCGGCTTGTGTCGCCCATTTTCATCCCTTTTCCATGTGTTCAACGCGCGAAAACACGCCTCGTGACCAAGAACCACAGCGAACAGAGAATTATGTCCGCGGTGGCTGTAGAAAGTTTAAAAGACCCCGGTATCCGGGACTTAATTGACGTTCGGAATGCGAGTTTGCGAAAGAACAATGTATTCTCCAGAAAATGCATTCAAATTATACTCTGCCGCGTTTCTAATTAAATTCAGCATTTCTCGGGGTGCTTTGTCTCAATTTTGGCAAAGGCATAGGCAAGTTTTTAATGTGATGTTGAATTGTGGAGGTGGACTGTAAGTGAGTGAGATCACATGTTAAGTCGATGTGTGGTGGTTCTAGTAATAGTTCAATTTGCAGTAGATTCTGCCAAGGGTAGTTATTTAGCGTTTACTAACGCTACGCGTGGTAATTCAAAGCGTAGTAACTCCACGCGTGGTAATTTAGCGCTTATTAACTCCACGTGTGGTAATTCGACGCGTTGAGATTTCATATGTGGTAATTCCACGCGTGGTAATTTAACGCTTGGTAATTCCACGCGTGGTAATTCAACGCTTGGTAATTCCACGCATGGTAATTCAACGCGTTGAGATCTCGCATGTGGTAATTCCACGCGTGGTAATTCAACGCGTTGAGATCCCACATGTGGTAATTCCACGTGTTGAGATCCCACATGTGGTAATTCCACGCGTTGAGATCCCACATGTGGTAATTCCAAGCGTTGAGATCCCACATGTGGTAATTCCACGCATGGTAATTCCAAGCGTTGAGATCCCACATGTGGTAATTCCACGCGTGGTAATTCAACGCTTCGCAATCCCACGCGTGGTAATTCAAGGCTTCGCAATTCCACGCGTGGTAATTCAACGCTTCG